GCCGCACTTAGAGGACCGCCGCAGCGGCTTAGTCTTGGACTGTAGCTGGGCGGCGAGACAGCAGGCGTGTCCGTCGCCCAAACGTTCGGGACTTTATTGAAGGTCCGATGGGCTTCTTCTGCAAGGCTGTCCTGGCTGTTCTCCTAAAGCGGGTTCCTTCTAACGTTCGCTTCAGCCAGGTTTTAGATTCAAGTCTGCCACAAAAGAGCGCTTGCGAGACAGGGCTAAGTTGAGCAAGCAAAAGCCCCGCCGGCACTACCGAGCAACGCGGGCAGCTGACAACCTTGTGCAATGCAAATCTCCCAACTGGAAGCCAAGGAAACTCCATTAGACGTCACTAAGCAAAGCACAGGGGTCCACGCGGAAAACAAGTCAAACGTTCCCCATAGCCCTTTCACAAGGCCAGTACTCCGGATACCCGAACCCGCAACTTAATTTAAGAAACAACGACGTAGCATCAGCAACTCAACCTCAGCGTGAGGACCTCCCCAGCCACCCGCGCTATTGACCCGCAGCGCGCATTTTTTTACGTGGTTCGGCGGTATCCAGCGACATAAATCCGCACGCTGTGTTGCCGATGTATTTCCCCATAATGACTGCCAGTTGAAAAACGATGATAGGAAGTTCGCCAACTGTCCGACGACGCTTGCAGACTTATTGGCGATTTTGCCTATACCCTTCACTTTTTGGGCGAGGCCCCGGTCGCGAAGCGCCACTCGGGGGGCCGAGCCCCCCATTGCTGTCAGTCAGTCAGTCAGTCCATCAGTCAGTCAGTCAGTCAGTCATGCTGTAACATTTCATCTTATTTCACCCCGATTAAAATTGCGTCTGAAAGTTATTCTGATTCTCTATCAATGGACCAATGGAACTGATTCAGATAAATTTGTGGGCGAAGTTAGCTTCCGAATATATTAACTTTCATATCTTGCCCTGCTTTAAATTGCATCTGAAAGCAATTCTTATCCTCTATTGATAGACCAAGGGAATGAATTCAGATATATCTGTGGCCGAGTTGAATTCCAGGGTGAGTTGAATTTCCATATCTCACTCCGCTAAAGATTGCATGTAAAAGCTACATCAATTCTTTATCGATTGGCAAACGGAGAACATTCAAATACATCGGAGCGCAAAGATTACTTTCCCCTCACGCCGCAGCCCTTGCCTCTGACGTCGTTGCATGTCCCTTACATTATAGATTCATATTACATTAAAGATTCATAAGCAAACGGCATGATCCTTTATGGGTTGGTTCCTTCATGCTCGGCAACTTTAGACCGACCCATGGCAACCTCCCTCCTGGCGTCTCGCTCGTACCTGTTTGATTGTTGTCCTTCTTATTCTCTTCTTCATTCATTCAATAAAGTTCAAACGAAGTGTGCCTTTGCGGCACACCATCAGCTTTGCCGCTGCATTCCGACTTCAAAATGTGCAATTGGAAGGATCTCCGAATGCGTTCTGGCTGGGAGCTGACAAAAATTGGTCCATGAAGCACGGGCACTGTGGCGCGCCTTGGACTGCCAGCCAGCAGGAGGGCCGGCGTCGAACATGGATGCAACGGTAGTACCACCTACGTATCGGGCAGTCCCGACATGGATTTGGCGCAGCAGCGGCAACACACGTTGCCGCAATGGCACTCCTGCTTTGTGTGTATGTCATTCTACGGATTGCCGTATCACGAGAAGGCTAACTGTTCAGTCAATAATGATTATGCTATAGCAGCTGCGCGCTTGCGACGATCCAGACAGGTCTACACCGCCGTCGCAAGTCTGCCGACCTTTATTGTTTGAGGATTTCAATAACAAGTGTGTACTCCAAACGTGGCGGCGTTCTTGTGCTTGCACTCTTATGCCGTACGGATTGCCATGCGAATCAAACGGGGGTCAAGTGGCTGCGCGCCGAGCCCCTTTTCGGCTTTGAAAAGCCGCCCCCCTAGTCTCCGTGGCCTTTAGGCGTTCAGAAATTGGCCTTTGGGTAGTTTTGCAGGTATGGGGTCACTCACCCCCAACCATGTGACACACACATATATGAAAGCATAGACGCGCATGTGTCTGTTGGTTTCAGATGCTTGTCTTTTTTTACTGCCATGCTTTGCTACAGCAGCCTCGTACAGATCGTTCCTGGTCTCCGCATCGTACGCCCTTCAATGAAACCGCCTCTTCATTTGGCCTGTACTCTTTTGACGTTAAGTGGGCAAGAACCTAGATGTTGGATGAAATGGACGCGCATACTCGGACTGAGACACACTTACTCTTTGCGAAGGAACGTCGTAAAACGAGGCGCTGCGTTCGGGGCCTTGGCGCGGTGTTATTGAATTATAGAAAACATGGTAAAAAGCAAAGCACAGAAGTACGGAGGATGTGCAGTGTGAAGAAGTGGCCGAGTATAGGGGGGTTACAAAAGTACTTATGACGCAAATCGGCCTCGTCTAAAGCACGCCCTCATTCGGATAAGGCCCCCGAGAACCCGCAACGATTTTTGGGCAATCTTTGCCAAAACAGGCTTATTTCCATTTCTTTATGGCAAAATGAAGGCCGTAACTCTGCCGCCCAGCCTGACTGTGAAATTTTGAATCAGAGCGCATGCGCGTCACTACATGGAGAACCGGAGATGCCGGCGATGCCACCCGCTGCCGCGAATCCTGCTCCGCCTTTTTTTGTCGTATACGTTATCAATATTGCAATTAAGTTCTACCAGGCTGCCAGGGCCATGGTGTAGGCCATGACAGTGGGATGGTGCTCAGATTCAAACTTTCAGTCAGCCTGGACGGCAGAGCTGCGGCCTTCCTTTTGCCATAAAGAATGGGGCAAATAAGCCTGTTTTGGCGAAGATTGCCCTAAAACGGTTGCCGGTTCTCGGGGGCCTTATCCGAGTGAGGCCACGGAAATCGACCAGACATCTGGGATGTGACATCCGGAAAATTGGCAGAGTTAAGCGTAAAGTATAACGGAGAAATTATTAAGAAGAACAAGTAGTAATGAACGTTGTATTTGAGAACTGCCGGAACATATGTGTACGGAGATGAGCATTGCAACCGGGCTGTGCATCTGCAAGATTAATCAGCAACGTACTCACAGTAAGAGGAGGTAGAGGAGTAACTGGAGGGAAAGGGAGGGAGAGGAGGGAGAGGAGGGATCATGGTAAATTGCAAAGTGCAGATGAGCACTGTGAAGTAGTGGCCGATCAAAAGACGGTTACAGACGGTTACATGCAGCAAATCTCAACATTATCTCACACGTTGCAGCAACTCCTCATTGTCACACTTGCGCACAGCTAATACGTAATCCACCACATTAAAACATGGTTTACACATCCATAATTCTACAAAAATAAATCCTATTAACCGTGCCTAGTCATCATGCAGCATGTCTCAACACTAACGCACACGTTGCAGCAACTCACAACAAATGCACGGCAAGAGACGGAAGCGGAAGACGAAAGACGAAAGCAAATGACAAAAACTAACACACGTAACTTGTAATAACACATGGTCGATAGCTTGCAACTGATGTACGGCCATCTTCAGCTGTTATAATACCAAACACTACAGTAATTGCATACACTCCTTGTACATCGTAATCAATATGGCGATCAAGAACGGATTTTATTTCAAATCGCTCCTCAACGGGTATGTACACTCACCACTTGCTTTCATAAACAGGGAGTCCCCGGAAGGACAGACATAAGGTAGAGAGAAGGAAGAGAAGGTTGATTTTCCATATCCAGGGAAGGCAGTAGCAAAAAATGAGAGGGACAAGAGGAGAGTGTGGAGGGAGAGAACAAAAGGGCAAAGAGGAAAGGGAAGAGAGAAAGGATGTGGTAAAGCACGCTAATGTTGCTTGTATATCGTGTTTGTCTTTACAGACTACAAATTTCAGGCTCTTCACAACAAATCCCAGGGTTTACCAAACACATCACAGGCATTCCAAGAGAACAAGTCGGGCTTTCGACATGCTTTGGTAGAGGGAAGTTTGCTACACGAACACACCTCGTCAATTAGCTTTGCTTGTTGTAAGCTCATTCGACTCGCCGTGCTCGCACAATTTATCAAAAATCTCATCACAACATAGACTGCAGCACCCCCAAACGCACCCACTCAGACCAAGACTATTACCCTTTTGGGCAAGCCGACATACGCGTAGCATGTGGCTTAACCAGCTCCCTAAATCCAGTATCCCATTTTGCATTACTGCATGTGCACTTCTCGCGCAAAGAAGGCTATATGTAGGAAGATTCCTCGAAGTAGCATGTAATGCTTGCACATATACAAATGCGGCACCCTTTCATGCATCACCCGCTGTATCTTCTTCTAGTTCATGCGCACTCCTTTAAGTTCTGCGCCTTGCATTCGTTCCAACGCTCCATGCATGGGGCTTATTACGCCTCGCTCCGCCCAAACGCCCAAACGTCCAACTGTAGCAGCTGGCTAAAGGGCGAGATTGTTGGAAATCAAATAATTTTAGCTATTTAGATTTATTTTAGAGCCTTGCCACGGTCCGTGCATGCCGTTGCTGTCTTTTACTGCTGCACCATCGCGCGCACATGGTCGTTTCGTGGGTCCTCCCTGGGTGACTGACTTGCTTTACCAGCACAATACCTGTTTAAAAAGCAAAAATTCCTAAATATTACCCGGCTTGTTCCGAGGAACAACCTTCCTTCTGTGTGCTTCGCGCGAGGTTCCCGCTTTCCGTATCTGTGTACGAACTTTTTATTCCTAGATCCCTGCCATCTAAGATCATCGGAATAATTCTTAATTAAAATTGACAAAGTATGAATCCATCGGCAGCAGGATTGTCCCGTTTCCGAAGTACTTTAGAGACTGACCGCAAATAGACCAAGGTACCGTTATACCAAGGGTACTGACAATCCATTATGTAATGAATGAATAATGATCCTGCGTGACATGAAATGCAGGGTTGACCTATGCGAGATTTCGAGAAGCCAGCCCGGCACAGGGATAAAGCGTAGACCTAAACCGCGTCGGGAGCAGGACGCAATCCCAAATGGGACGATCCTCTCTTCGGATAGTACACCCTCATAAGTTTTTTTATTTCTGTTCGTATAAGTGCTCTTGGGTTCTATTGGCGCTTGCGTTTTTGATCACCTGTTCGACATGGCTTACAACGCACAAATACCACCATCAGTTAGAGGACCGCTCACAATTCCTCACTTGCCTCAGCGGGGACTGCTTTATAACCTTGTTCAGTGGCTTGTTTGACCAGCGCAACTTCCAGGTGCGAATGCAGCGTCGATTAGGACGTACTTGAGGCATACATGTGCCCATGACTGCGCGTAGCTAGTCTTGCAGTCGTGCTTGTTCGCGTCGCATACTCCTGTCCAGGTCATGGCTGCGTAGCAACAACTGGCGTTTCCATGTTGGGAAACATCGAAACATTGTACATGGATAGATTTAGCCATGTGTTGGGCCTTGTTGCGCAAACGTTTCATCTTCGCATCTCATTGTGAACACCCACTTATCCGAATTCCAGTTTAGGACACCCTGCACTAAGTGCAACAGCGTATCACATTCCCCGGCTACATGTGCTACCGGCGCACGCGCAATCGTACCGCAATCGATTTTAAACATTCCCAATTCGCGCATTTCATATTCGCCATGCAGTGCGGTGCTGGTTCAGTATGCCACACCTTTAACAATGGCGGCGGGGTGCCGAAATCTTGGAGGTGAGGCTGGCCGGTTTACAACAGAACAGCAAGTGTCACAACCGCACAGGACTTGGCGACCCACCTATTCTGATTCTGCTTCCCTGGTTGGACTCAGACGATCATATAGGGACTTGCAAACCGCTCAACAGATTTTAGGGCTGGAATTAGTGCAATGACCGCATATGGTGGCCGCGGATGGCGGGTTTGCCGGGAGGCAGGAGGAAGGAACCGGTTGTAGTTATAATATTTTTAATTGGCACGCGTTCCGTTGCCGCAGTAACCTCTACTAAAAGGCGAACCCTGAATATCCCGAGACCAGGGACGTGAACCGACCAACTGCACCATAGCATCCGTTGGTGGGCCCTAGCGCAAATCACAACGAACTGCTTAACTAAGAGGCTGACGTCTGACTTCCTTTTGGTGTCAAATCGCCGACCATGTGAGCCGCTGATGCTATTCGCCTCGTTTGTAATACAAAATTGTTTTGGTGCGTGTGGGCAGCGTGGCAGGTTGGGTGCGCCTGGACACAGCCCTGGATGAAGTGTTTGACGTTACCGCATTTTCCATTGGCCCGGTGAGCCTCAAGTTCGCGGCGCCCGCGGTGCCGTACGTTGGCGTGGAATCGGCGTGGCCCGACGTGCGAAGACAATTTGAACATAAGCCCGGCCTGCGTGGGCACTGCGCGGACCTTACCATACGTTCCTACCAGACCCAATCTTTCGATGATGCTTTGCGAGAGTGTGCGCAGTTGCCCGGTAAGTCTGCGAAAGGGTACGTGTTAAGTGCGAGGACATTCTCCGAAGCATTCATCGATGTGTCAAAGGACACCACACTTTACAGCCATTTTCATGTGGACATCTGGTTCTCGCGACATGAAAGGCTTGTTGCATTTATTTTGGTGCTCGCTGCTCGCAGGTTGCACTGTCGTCACACGGAACTCGCATGACCTGTCCACATTCTTCTGTCTTGCGGCGTATTCCATTGATACTCCAGATGGCGCCTGGGCATCGGCAGTCTTGCGTGAAGCGCCTCCCTTCCACCAATATTCCGGGGCAGTCACCGTAAACAGCTGGTATGACGACTGAACGGCTTAATAGTTGACAGATGCTGACTGCGTTTCAGCTTTCTATTGATGATGCATGTCAACACGTGCATCGAGAGGGATCATGTGTGTCTGCTTTACTTCCTGTAGGGTCACTGCGGCTCCCCGTTGACTGTGACCAGATGCATTCACCCTATTGTTTCTGACCATGCTTCCGCAGGAATTACTTTGCAATGACCCACGAATCTGGGATTCTGCGTTTTTATGTGAATGGGTTCCTTCGCCAAACAATGGAGGTCAGCATTCCCGAGGATGTTACGCAGCTGGACTTAGGGCGATCTCCACGCTGGTTTGAGAGCCGCTTTCCGGGACAGATCGGGAATATTCGCGCGTGGCGTCGTCAGCTCCAGCCAAACGAAGTGGTGATGAGCATGTCAACCGAGCTCCCTACAAGGGACCATGTTCTGAACGTGACCGCGTCGCCACTCTGGACTGGGCCGCCTCCCATTAGACCGACCTGGGCTAGCCTTGCAGTGCCAAGCCATGTATCCGAATGTGATGCGGCAGTAATAGTGCCTGTACTGGAGCGCACGCCCTTCCCCCAGCTGCAGACGCTTGCGACCCATCTGCAGCACTTCGCTGGCCACTCATGCCATGCCAAGGTGTTCATGGTTGCATGCTCACGCCAGGACTTGGGTAATTCCAGTCTGGATAACCTTCAGGATGCTGTACTCCTGCGGCCCAACGTTTCACTACGTTGGGATGCATGTGTCCAGTATGGCTTGAAGCTGGCACTAGCAAAGGCCTACACGACGCCCTACACTGCTGTGGTCGCCGAGTCCCTGGTGCCTTTGTATGGCTGGCTGTCAGGGCTTGCGCATGACCTGCAGCTGCATACAGACACGTCTGCGGTTTTTGCCAAAATCTTATTCGCAAACGGCACAATTAAAAGTGCTGGGTCTCGTTTTGAGCAGGCGTACGATGACTACTTGGGACGTCAGGTGCTGCGGCCTGTCGAGATGTACGCAGGTTATCCATGGAATTACCAGCCAACCATGAAGACCATGATGATACGTGGTGCAGGCTGTTCGGCATGGCTTATGCACAGCTCTGATTTTCGCAAAATTCTGGAGGATGGTTTTCCTTCAGGTTTGGGCAGCAACCTGGCTTGCTCGGATATGGCACTCAAGCTTCAGCGCGGGGGCCGTGCTGTGCTCCTGTCTCCGCAGGGTGCCTTTGTTGATACTGCAGCACGCATACAGCACGAGGACACAGCCGCATTGCAGGCGTTTGATGAGGTATGGGGAGCCGATCTCGCGTCACAGCATGCACTTGGACTGGCGTTTAACGCTACTGTGAGCTGGGCCATGCAATGTGGTGGATATGAAGGCATTAAAGCTTATAACCTCATGCAGCATCTGGAGGGCCAACTGCAGCTTAGGGCGCAGATACAGCGTGGTTGGCCATTCTGTGAGCATCCAGATGTCCTCCAGGGGATGCCACTGGCCTTCACGCAACGGCTGTACCGGCTTCGGCGCTTATCAGCATACCTGCCTTCAGACATCATTGTTCACCAGAAGGATTACCGGCAGCTGGCTGCATGGCCATGGCCCCCAAGCAACTCATCCACGTACTTGATTGGTCGCTACGGGTGGGATGTCGACCCTATCCATCGCCAGTGGATCGACCAGGTGAAGAACGAGTTGGATGAGGTCTGGGTACCGTCCAACTGGCATGCCGCATCCCTAAGACAGCAAGGTGTCAGGACAGGCAAGATTTTCGTCATTCCTGAAAGCGTGGACTCTCACTTTTATGACCCCGACATTTGGGAGCCGCTCACTTTACCAAGACAAGCCCGGCTGTCTTTCCTGTCTTCATTCCGGTTGGATGACCACGCGGGCTGGCAGGCAGTGCTTTCGGCGTACCTGACGGTAAGAGAACTGTTGTGTATGCTGGCACTGATCTATACGTATGTTGCTCTTCTTACTGAACGCGGCTCCATCCCGTCTGCAGGCCTTTCGTAACTGCACAGATGTTTCCCTATACATCAACACGGCGATGTCCCCCGAGCTGTCTTACAAAAGGGCTTCTATCTACGAGACCATGAACACCTTCCTCCGTTCAAGCAATGATACGTACCTCCGTTCCATCAGTATGTATCCTGAGCCTACACGGGGGGCACCGCACGTGTACGTGTTCGGCCGGCAACTGACACAAATTGAGCTGCTCAGAATCATCTCTTCGGTTGATGTGGTGGTGGTACCGTCCCGAGGTGACGGGTGGAACAGTCTGTACTTGGAAGCCATGAGCCTGGGCAAGCCACTGATAGCAACCACCTCTGCTGGTTTAGCTGAGCACATCCAGCCGGGCTTTGCGTTTCAGCTTAACTACACGTCTACTGAGGTGCATGGATCAGACACGTGGTTTCGTGGAGCTCGTTGGGCTGAGCCGTGTGCTGAGGGGCTGATCGCTGCATTCCGTGCGGCGTATAGCAGCAAAAGCCTGCATGCGATGGGGCGCGAGGCAAGGGTAAGGATGGTCAAGGAGTATGACAATGAGGTGGTGAGCAACATGGTTCTGAAAAGGCTAAAGGAGATCAGTGAATACCAGCTTTCGCGCCCTCGCACAGCGAGATCCCTGGATTTGGCGAAAGACCCAGTACCAACCGATGTGCACATATGTGCCATGCTCCCTAAGGCTAGTATCCGTGTGCACCGGACAACACCAGCCCTGAAGATTGCTGTGGTGTCGACAGCACCTCCACGGCGGTGTGGGATTGCTACCTTCAACACAGCTCTACTGCGCTACTTGCGGCCACTGCTGCCCCAAGGCAGCTCAGTTGAAGTATTTCCGCTGGTCGGCGATATGGAGGCGGCGCCATTTGGTATGGATCCTACCATGCATGTTATACGGCAAGAAAACTATGGAGACTACATCGCGACAGCTCGCCTCATAAATGATGGTGGCTTTCATGCAGCCATATTACAGCACGAGTTTGGGATCTGGGGTGGTACCACTGGATGTTTGGTTGTTTGCTTTTTAAAAATGCTGGAGGTGCCAGCTGTTACTGTCATTCACACGCTCAGCGACAACCTGGGAAACTCGGACCAATACATTTTGCAGCAATTATCGGCAGCATCCACAGCAGTTGTCGTTATGTCTGAATCCTCCCGGAACAAGCTGGGGGCGTTCCACGGCATCCCGGGCAACAACGTCGTGGTTTTGCCACATGGAGCGCCAGTGATATCTGCTGTGGACCCGCTTGCAGCGAAGGCAATGCTAAACCTGACTGGAAGGACTGTACTGTTGACGCACGGCCTAATAAACCCCATGAAGGGTGTTGATCTGGTGCTGGACGCCTTGCCCACAATCGTAAAGGAGTTCCCCGCCGTGGTGTATTTAGTCGTTGGCGAGCCCCACCCGGACTGTGGCTGGCCTTGCGCGAATTACTATGAGCAGCTGGTCAAGGCTGTTTCAGATCATCGTATCATGGACCACGTCAGGTTTGTGACCGAGTTCATCAATGATCAGTTGTTGTTGCAATACGTCCAGGCGGCTGATATCTACGTCCTGCCGTATAAGGATCGCATCACGACCAACTCAGGCACCCTTACTATGGCCCTTGCCGCTGGGAAAGCAATAGTGTCTACCCCCTTCGATCATGCCGTGTCGGTGTTGCCGGGCCGCGGTGTGCTAGTAGATTTTGAAAGCCCCACCTCGCTCCAAGAAGGAATATTGCAGCTGCTTCGTGATGACGGCCTCAGAGTGAAGTACCAACAGGCAGCCAGAGAGCTGTCGTCCGGGAAGGATTGGCGGTCAGTAGCCGGGGGATACTTGTCACTGCTGCAAAATATAACGGCGTGAAGTCAGGTAGATGACAGTATGACCGATGACAGGACCCCTGTAGCATGGGGTTATGCAATGACCAGGGATGCGCTCAGTGGCAAATAAGTCGTGCATTTGCGGGTTGCCACGATACACCGTAATCACCGATGGCCTTGTATGGCCCTTTCACCAATTATAGTGGCGCGGTTGTGGCCGAAACACACTTTTCGCCGTGCTGCAGTGGGGATTTTAGGTCCTGCATAGCTTGGCCGCTTACCCGGTTAACGATGGGTAGTGTTGTGTAGAGCGTCGAAGAAACGTATATCCTGGTCACGGAAAGTAGCACAGTGTGTGCGTTTTACAGAATTAGGATGCGGCTGTGTGTTCGTTGCGACATCACGATCCTTGCGGCGGCTGTATCATATTTCAAGGACTTGGCCTAGCTGTGTGTTTTCTGTGCTCTTAATTCATGTTGTGCTGGCTGCGCATACGCATTACGAACTCGAATTTATCGTTTTCATTCTATATGTTTGGTGTGACATCAGTGTGTGGGAGTGGAGCGATGTTATGATGTTAGCATCATAGGCGAGGGCTGTGTACTTGCTTGTCATGAACGCGTAGCACTGCCGTTTTTGTCTGTTTTCCCTCGTTATTGTGCTGAGCCATTCCTGGTTTATAGGACGTTGCGGCCACTGGGTTTGTAGAGGGTATAGTGCTCTTGCTTTTTGCAAGCAATGGCTTGTAACACACAATCACATCGAAGGGCGCTGGAGGTCGAGTCAGTATTTAGCGAGCGCTTTCTACGCCCTCATATCAATTGGATTTTAATCTGGTAAGCGGCTTGGACAACGTAAGGTATGGTGCAGTCTTTCAACAGGGGTCCTCTGATCCCACATGCATGTAACATGGCGGTGGTTCGATGTTGAGAATTTATGGTGTCACATCTCACATGGTGGGGATGGAGTGATAAGTGTCGTAGTTGGGAATGGTACCGTGCAATTCATTTCCTCCTTTCATCGTGCTCTGCTTATTGCTTTTGACATGGCAGCTTTGTGTTCGGTATGGCAAGAGTTCACAGCTGCCTACCATAGGTTTGGTCCCACACTTGCTCCATTGCACATTTGATGTTCCTGCTAGACAGTGGTTGGCTGCCACCATGGCTCGGTTGGACGCCAGCAGCAAGCCAGCACGATGGTACTGCCACTACCTTCTTGTGTTTGCCTCGGTATGAGGGGGTTCAGTTGAAGTGCTCACTGAATATCAATAGTGGCGTGACCCTTGTGACCCTAACGAAACACCCTCATACCACCCTCACGAACTCTAAAATTAAGGTGCTTTATGGCTATGAATTTGGAGAACGGCATTCTTATATGCATTCAAACGCATGTTCAGAACTACGGCCCCAAAGAACATGCCTAAGGAAATGGGCCCTGAGCACAGGGACCGTTCAAACTGTGACCCATGGGAGCCATGTAATCCAGCAGTAGGGGGCCCAGGCCGTTGTGCCCTGGTCAGTGACCTCTGTTGCTGGGGCAGGGGTCCAGGACGGATTGTTTGACCACTAGCGAATGCCTCTTGGCAGCACTGGCTGCGGTAGTGGCCGGGCAGGCAATTACACTCCCATGTGGCCAACGTGCGTCGTTGCTGGCTTTTGCAAATACACATACCCGACTGGTCAGGAGAACAGCCGGAAGATTCACCCTCGCTTCATTCCAGTTAGTCTCTATCAAAGCTGCTGTTTACCCCATAGTACCGTGTACCGAGATGGCAGGGCCTTTGCCGCCTCACATGCAGCAGCAGCAATAGCAGCCCAGGGTGCGCGAAATGCTGTCGCTTTCTACATCTGTAATGGGACGGAGGGACGGCAGGAACACCATTGTCTAAAGGGTGTGACCTAACAGAGCCGGGTTAGTCCGCATCACTACTTTTCCCTATCGCAGTGCGGACATAGCAGAGGATATGGTGACAGTTGCGATGGACAAGAGGGGCTTGCTATTGCAATTCCAAATATATGCATCCGGTCGCCTTTCCCACTACTCCCACATAACATCACGATTATACATTAGCTGGTTTCTGTGGGACTACATGCCCGTGCACTACCACGCCCATAAACTGCTGCCGTACATCCCATCTGTACTTCGCAGGTCGTTTAAGAGGCTGCCCTTCTTCGTATACGCCTACGTTAGCTCGGAGAACCCTCCACCCTTGAGTTTATGCAGCGCCCGCTGCCGTTATTTAGTATTCCATCGACGCCACGATCTATTGTACATGCGACATGTGCGTTTATGCGAGTCTCAGCTCTCGAGCTGGCGGACTTTGTTCTTAGTCACCCAGGACCACAACGGCCCAACGAAGACTCGTCCAGGGAAGGCTCCGGCCCACGTCCCGACCAGCGTCCCCCACCTCCACCGCCACCTCGTCCAACCCTCGGCCTCCAACCGCCGCCGCCGCAACAGCCGCCGCTACTGCCGCCCTCGCCGCCGCTGCCAGCAGCGGAGCAGCAGCAGGAACAGAAGCAGCTGCCGCGGGGCCCGTCTGCCTCGCAGTTGCAGCTACGGCCATCGGTAACGGGATCGCTGGCGTCCAGGCTGGGAGCCGTAACCATGGAGATTCAGCAGTACGGCAGTACGCAAGTCATGCCCATGGATGCCGTACGGAATTGCTTTTCGAAGCTTCTAGTGGTGCGTTTTCGTTATTGCTGTGTCATCCTGTCTTGTCTTATCTTTCTTGGGGTGTTACACTGTGGGCGGTTCGTCCCGAGAAAGGGCGAGCACCGGGGGACCTGACCGGGCCGAAACACAGCGCAGGGGCGGGCGCGCGGCTCTACGTCCGTCTGTTCCTCCGCGCGCGCCTTAGACCCTCACTCACGCCAACCGGGGTGCTTTCCCAGCCCCTGGCTAGGCAACACAGCGGTGCAGAAGACTGCGAGCCGAACTAAGCGAGAGCCGCACGAAAGGCGCCACATCACCTCTGGAAACCCTAAACAGGCTATCTGCCCCCACTTCGCCTGGCCAGTCTACTCGCGCGCTCTCTCCCCTCTAGACCACCAAAACTATGGCTCTGCAATGATTTTCAAGGGCTGCCTCTTCCCCTAGTGTGCACACACATTACCGTCTGCAACGAATGCTCCATAAAAGCAGCTCCAAGCCGCGTCGCCAGTATGTTACTTCATAGCCTTGCCAGCTGGAGCAAACCTGTGTTCCCTACGGCACCCAACAGTCCAGTTGAACATCTACGGCCGACTTTGAATGGCGCCAGGCTAGAGGAGCAGATTTCTTCGTTATGATTTTGGAGTGAGCCCCCTTGCATCACAGACATGATTCTGCAGATTATCTTTCATACGCAATCCCGTCTCGTCCGATCAGGGCAATGGGCTCCTGCAGAGACTAAACGCACAATCGAGATTTTATCGCACTTTTGTGAAAAGGCGGGCGGCCCGTAGCTGGTTCTGGATGTTGGTAGTCACGTAATGTACTACAGCTTGCTTGCAGTAGCCTTCGGCTGTAAGGCTTTCGCCTTCGATGCAAATAAAGAAGTCCTTGTGTATTTGAACATGTCTCTTGCCCTTAATGGCTTTTCGAGCAGCGTCCGAGTATTCGAGGGGATTGTGTTGGACACCTTGGATGTAAATTTTGACGGTTGGAATGCTCGGCCTGAGGGCGATCCGGATGCCAGCAACGTTCCTTCACACGTCGCCACGCAAGCGGTGAAGCTGGACGAAATAGTGCGCCAGCCTGTACTGTACGTCAAGGTGAGTGTTGTTTCTCATCCACTTGCTGCTTCTGTCTGTTGTGATGGCAAAGACCGCCAATACGCGGCGGGCGAGTCTCCGGATAGGGCTTGCGGGCATTGTTATGATTTAATTAATTCATAATTCATGCCAGGGCGGGACAAGGGGTCTGCCGACAAAAATTAAAAAAAGGTAGCGTTTGATTACGTTTTGTAAGCCATTAATTCAAGGAAAACTGCTTGGCTTGACACATTCATTTAACGCGTTGCGCAACATGGAAGCGCGCTTGCTAAATTCGAGTAACCGACTGACCTTCATGTTCAACCAGATGAAGTGGCCTGGGGCACTCGGACCACGGACACTCGGGCACACTCGGTGCTTCAGTTTTGTACACTGCCCTGCCGACGCTATTTGTGAAGATGGATGTTGAGGGGTGGGAGCCGGCTGCATTCTCGTCATGAACTAGGAGGATTTTCACGGAGTCGTCACCCCTGTGCATCTTCTTTGAGATGAGCTAAAACCTTAAAACCCTATCTGTGGGGCAAGTGGCACCTGGAGGTCACACGGGTGATGAAGGCTGGGGGATACACATGCGACTAGTCCATCCTGCAAAGGGTCATCACGTTGCCTGATACGAAATCCCAGTTTGACGGTATTTTTAATTAATGGATAGGCCATTGCCGGAAGTTCGGCATCGGAGTTTAAGAAACGGTTGATGAGCGGTTGGAAGCATACGCGTCTAGATATCCAGCCAGACGTGTACCCGTCAGACGGTAAGCAACCGGAAATCCACATGGCGAAACAGAAGCATTGGATGGGTCTGGCGGCTGAGCAAGCGGGCAGGAAGGAGGTGCTCCCGTATATCACAACATTCATCCCGCGTTCAGCGAATTGTAAGCTTATGCAGTTTAGGCATTGCTGTTAAGCGTTGGCGGCGAACAGAGCGCACACGGGGCAGCGTCATGTACCTGCACTGATAGCCATATTGAAGATGAGAAGCACGTCTTGCTGGACTGTCCAGTGTACGGCGAAATCAGATCTGATATTGATTTCCCATGCTTAAAGCATATGAAGGGACGCTATGAAGTGGGAACCTGAACGTCTGGCCAAGATGCTGGAACGTATGTGGTTCCACCGCATCCCTTGGTAGTTCGTCTCCTTTATCACTTGCTTTGTCTGAAGTGCGAGGTAGGATCGTGCTTATAGGCGATATGGCAGCCCTTGAGCCCTCGGCTCGTATTGGGCGGTACGGGGTACGCACCCCCACGACCATGTAACACACAAGAAATCATTCGCGGCACTGTGAACCAACTACGATTACATTTCTGCCAGGACGAGTTCTTTTGCGTGCATCCCTCGGCCACCTTACAAAACCGGATTGTTGAAGTGAAGCATTCCTAAGATGGGTGTCATGGGAAAGGGGCCAATTAATGGTTAGTGCTTAGGCCGTGTGTGAGGCAATTGCGTCTGCTCGTAGTGGACACCTTAAGCGATCGCGGCCATGTCGATTTTTGCAACCACTGAGACCCATTCCTGCCCTAACAAGCTGTGTCGGCTTCCTCGAAGCCGGAAAGAGGGCGGAGCCCCCGTATATCTGTACAGGCCGGTAGCTAGGGTGGCACGTGTGATAATTGATGGGTAGTGTCGACGTGGTGGGAGCTGTGCTTGTTGCAGCAGTGCTGATGCTGTGGGAGGTATGCTTGTCTGAGCGCGGGAGGCAGGAAGCCGGGGCTCATAACCTGTTGAAGAGACGGTGTCTCTGGAACCTAGCAGATACGGCTAAGAGTCATTGGCCGTTACACGTAGTCGGGAGCTCCGCGACCTGCCACCGACAGGCCTTGCTTGGGCGTAAACGTATGAGTCTGAGGTGCCGCTACCGGCACACAGCAGGGGCTCGGCCACCAAGTCCGCGGTCCAGGCCGGCTGCTCAACGCTCAGCAGACACAATCGCAGCTTGCCAGCCTTCAGCCTGTTGGCTTTGCGGTCTGGTGCCGCAGCCATAACACGCACGGAAAACAGCGCCGTACAGCACCGTTACGCACTGCCTACGGCACCCCTTCAGGCATGGACCTGCCCATTCATGCGCCCTTGGTGGCCCCCTCAAAGCCTAGCTCGACACACTTCCCCAAAGCCCTCAGCACTTTCCGGTGCTGTCTGGGATGTTTATTCCCGAAGCGCCAGTGGCTTCAGCAATCCGCCACACCTGCGAGCTTTATCGCGGCACACTGCAAGTCTTCGGAGGCCCCGAGCATTGGCCAAAGTAATTGTACAAACGAACAGCTTGCGTACTTCATAGAGAAATGAAAGCAAATTTGTCGGCCTGCTGATGGCAAGTCGGAATGCCCGTGCGGGCAAATGGTAACGCAAGCTGGGTGTTCGAGTTCTCATACGGCGTCATCTCAGAATTCAATTATGAGATACGCGGCACCTTTTGAGATTACGTTGATGTGACTTTGAGCTCGGTCAATGTAGGCAGTCAAAGTAGGCAGCCAAAGCCATACGATTTTTGTTGGCTACAGGCGAGATACCTTGCAATAGATAATACAATATATTACCAATAACGCGTTTCAGCCGGGCGAGATAATATGTTTGGTCCGTTACACACACACGGGCACACGGCCGCACGGACATGGGCAATCCTACAGAGCGGGGGCCCCCTGGGCGCTTCGCCCCGCGCAAAAATCACCGAACTTTATGGATACCTTTTCTGGAGCTTGGATTTTAGGCGCATTTCAAGGCAGATTCTGAAACCGTACATCAAAAATCTGCGCAAGCGTTCAAGCCTAGAATTTAGTGTTCTAAGCACGGTTCACAAGGTTAATGTACCGTAAACGAAACAGCGGACAACTGTGCGCGCCGTGTATGAACAAAAACAAGGCCATTACAGGGGGGTCATAAGCGATACTTTATCATAATTTCGACGGAGTAGGGTAGCGCAGTTGACTTGCGTAGAACTATGGCTTAGGCTGGACATACAGCGTTAGCGTAGCGAGGGTTGCTGGCGGTACATGGCATAAAAAATAGTTGCAATGCTAGACGTCAGTGCCGGTATGCTTGGGTACCTGGCGGGACATGGCGGTACTTGGGAAATGGCCTATCATAATTGTATCATGAACTTTGCTTAGCACCTGGCTTAGGGTTTGGACATGCCAAAGATGCAAACTATTTGGGTAAATACCTCTCTGGTTCTTATGACTCTCAGTATCCATGGCTTGGAGGGATTATCCGCAAAATATGTTCCACAGCCCGCACGAGCAACCGCTTTCGGTGAGGCAGCCAGAGTTCTAGCATCTGCATACATGGCCTGGTTTCCGAGTGTTGGGACCGTCCGCACTCATTTCAGTCATTAAGAGTCATTATTAAGTCTGACGGTACTTTAACTGTGTTGGTAGTTTTACTATGGAAATCACAACACATAAATCATCTTAACATGATCTCAGAAACATGTCCGAAACCCTCCGAGCACCTGACCCGGACCGACATAAAATCTTGCCGGGGCCGTACTTTTCCGTCCCAGTGCCAGAATACTTCGAATTCTCGCTATATTAGAACAATATTCCGGGCGTAGGTTCAATCCTTTCAGTCCCAACCAAGTGCCGGCATCTCCATCAATGTCACAACTGCAGTACTGCCCATAACCACTCTTCTCAACCGGCATCCTCCATACCCGGGTTGCCCCCGGTCATGCGTACATGCTCGTATCCTTCCTTCGCAACGCCAGCAGCTGTGTCTTCAGACGATCAATTTCCTGCGCCTGTGCATTCACCAACTGCACCAGCGCGTCACGCTCCTCCACCTGCACCAACCATTGGGATAGTGGCATCCAGCTGGGTTTCGTCCATTGCACGGGTTCCTGTATAGGCTTCTGTATGCATTATCTAGTATACGGTCGACATGGTACTCAAAGGGCACAGATACCGGTTTGCCGTGCACATGTGCCGGGCAACCTAGGCGCGGAGAGTAAAACCGGGCATACGGCAGTGTAATGATGAAGCCCAGGCGCACCTCAGCTTTACGTTGTTGTACAGGGTCCGAAAACAGTCCCTTGCGTGTGGCGGTGAGGCCCGTCTCCAGCTTGCGCTGGGCCGCCGTCAGCTGGCTCACGGCGTTGAGGCAGGCGGTGTTCTCCCTGGTTAGCACAACCAGCTCGTCCATGCGGGCTGCAATCTTGGAGTCCCACTCCGCCAACTCCCGCGCGTATTGCAACTCCTACGATGTGAAGTAATTGGGCGAGCACGGAAAATGGCAATTACACGTGAAAGGCGGAGACAGCCAGGAATAATGTCTCGTTGTCGCGCTCTGTGGTTCCTTGTGCCTTCGCTTGCAAAGCCAATTAAATCCAGAGTTATGGCATGTTTGCGTCATGTGGTCCTGTCATACTTGCAAAACTGGATGTAGGATGAAGAACTGGATGTAAAACTGAATGGTAGGCATAAAGAGAGCGCCCAATCTCTCTTTTCCCGTCCTTCGATATTGTCCTGTCATCCTTGCGTTCAGCCGCGTCCTGTGCTGCGGCCGTTTGCCCGGCTTCTGCTGGAAGGTACCCAAAAGGATCCGCCGCATATCCGGGATACGACCTCCAGTCAACAGTTCTGTAGCCCTGCGCCTCCGGACGGTTGAGTCGGGGCCTTCAACGGGTGTTCTCCCTCCCGATTTACCTGCTTTCTGAGCTCTTCCTTAAGGTCCTCCGTGCCTCGGCTGCTGCTCACTTTGTCCAGCAGCTCCAGGTCTATCACTTGGCCAAACTTAAGCATCTGCACGTCGTGCGCTCGAGCCTCGAGCTCAGCAACCTGTAGGAAGACGTAGCGATGTTTAGATGACACCGGTAACCGCTCCAAATCTCATACTGGCTACGGCACAGGCTTGGGCGATTATCATACCCCGCCCCGCCTTCGTAAAAGCCGCTATGAACGAGAGCCGCTGCTGGACGGTTAGTTGTACCGAAAGAATGCGAACCCTATTTCACAGTTCGCCATTGCACCGTGTTCGCACTTTTTTTTCCTTTTCAGCCTTGTCTCTTAGCAGCCCCGCTTGTTCACGCTTGAGATCCTTATGCTGCGACCGCAGAGCCGCCTTCTCGTCCTCCAGCTCGTCCACCCGCCGCTGCAGCCGCCGCAGCTGCGTCGCACTGAACACTAGCGCCGCGGAAAGGTCATCTGGTAGGCAGCCGTCGATAAGGTACTCCACCTGCATGCACGTTAGGAAACGTGTCGGCGAGCAGCTTCCTCGTTAAGTAGCAGCAACAACTGGCAGCTAGTGCCATGAGCATGATCTCAAAACACTATTCGGAACATGGTTGCAACCCAAGCTTCTGCAAATTCCGCTATGCATGGAGTGCGGTTGGCCGTCGGCAGGGAAGAACAACCTGCCAACAGCGGGTTTCTTTGGCATCGACACGCACTAGCACGTACCTGGTGCATCTTGAGCGACACCACTACTTCCACCTGGTTGAGTCGGCCCTGCTTCTCCTTCTGGAACTCCGCCATGTCCGCGTTGACAGCAGCCAGGCCCTGTTCCACCAGCCGCTGCTTCTTAGCCAGAGCCTCCTTCTCCTTGCGGAGCACCTGCGCCAGAGTGCCAAACCAGCAGTGTGAGCCACACGCTCGGCAGTGCCGGTACTCTGACATCAGTGTGCCTCACTGCCATTAAGTCCTGGCGCACGTTAAGTTGTGTTCTGCGCAGGCATACAGGCACAGATATACTGGCAGCATGCCTCCTAGCACTCACCTCAATGGTCTTCTGAAACTCGGCGATCATGTCCTCCTCGTCCAGCCGCTTTTCCCGCAAGTCACACACCCGCTCGTACACTGATTGATCGCAGCCAGCCGGGCACACCTCCTCCCCACCGTCATCGTCATCATCCGCCTCGTCATCGCCTGTGCAGTCAATCGAATAGCATGAGCCCATTAAATCACCGGAAGTCGCACTAAGCGCTCGAAGTATCCCACTAGCAGTATTTTCCCTCCTAACGTGCACGTACCCATCTCGTCCTCATCCTCATCGTCATCGCTGTCGTAATCGTCGTCACCCCCGCCCGCTTTTTTCTTGGAACGCTTGATGCGTCGATGGAAAATCCGCACTAGCGGCTCCCTGTAGGGGTCCGTCTCGGGTAGAATCGCGTCCAGCTCCGCAATGACCGCGGCGCGGCGCGCGATGAGCCCTTCCAGTTCCACGCGCTTCTGCTCCAGCTTATCGGTGCACTCCGTGATCTTGTCCACAATCTCCTGCTTGTCATCCAGCTTGGCCTGCCGCTTTTGCAGCAAAACGCTCTCGCGCTTGTCGAATTCACGCAGCAGCTGCAGCTCCTGAAGCATCACCAGCAGCCTCATCTCACCTGCCTTCACGTCCGCCTCAAGGCCCAGCTTCTCCGCCTTCAGCGCGGCATGCGCGTCGTCAAAAGCCTCGATCATGGAGTTAACCTCGTCTGAGCGTTGAACGTGCATCACAGTTGACGGAACAGTCAAGTCGTGGCCCGACAGGGCGGACGGGTTTGTTCTTCTTTCGCATAATGTATGCAGATCATCCGGAGATTTCGCGCCCCAGCTGATTGCGCCTACCGGGTAATGCCGCCATCCGTTTTGAATTGGCAGCGGTCCGCATTGCGGCTTCATTGCCCCTACCGGAACCCTTACTGTCCTGGCACCCATTGTCCCGTACACAACCCACCAGTCAGCTTGTTGCGCATGTGCTCTACTCGACGGCGGTTATAGGCAGCGAGGCCCTTCTCCAGCTCGCTTTGCGGCACCGCCGCCATCATCTTGGCCAGAGCTTCCTCGGAGGCACTCAGACCTGGACCCCCGATCGAGCCGCTTGTTGCCGCACCACCGCCGCCACCAGCGCCACCGTGCGGCTGTGCAGGTACCGCAACGCCGCCCGCCGTGCGCTTCACCCCTCCCGCGGTCGCGAAGCCTCCCAGCCCACCCGCTGCAGCGGCGGCGGCTTTGCGCTCCTCCTCTTGCTTGCGTGCAGCAAATGCAGCGAGATCATCGTCTGTGACCGCATCCCGGGCCTCTGCGGGCTGCTCATCTGGTAGCAATGCGGCAGGAATGGATGCAAAGGGCGCAAGGTACATGACGGCTGTGGCGTCGGTGTCGACGCTACCACCGGCAACAGCGACACCAGTACCTCCTCCCGCTGCAGAGTTGGCCATCACCGCCAGCTCAGCCAGAGCGTGAAGCTTGGCATGTACATCACTGAGTACCTTGCGCTTCACGTCACGGAGCGCAAAGAACTTCTCGTTGAAGGCGTGCTTGATGTTATAGAGGGCCTCCTCCAGCTCAAGCATGGCATGGCGCTTGCGCTGTGGCGTCATGCGCTCCTCCTCCGGAACAACAAAGTTGGGGTCGCTCTTCAACTTGAAGTCGCCTATCGTGCGCCGCGCTTCCTACGAACGCAACGAGCACAGCCGGCAATCGGTGGCTTTAAGCACAATTTCGATCTTTGGAGCACCACAAAGGTTGAGGCAGTCGCGAGCGGTTCTTCGTCAACCTCCCGCCTTTAGCACGGTCCGCAAAGCGCTAGCGAGCCCACCTCAATGGCCTTGAGGTCCGCGGGGCTGTCGTATGTGTCGTCGGGACGAGTGGCGTTAAATGCTGCCCACTCGGCCTCGCGGCGCTTACGCGATAAGCGCCGCAAATCAGCTTTGTTAAGTTTGCCGCTGGCGGTGCCCTCCTCCAGAGCCGCCGTGGCCTCTGCCAACCGGGCCCGTGCAGCTGCGTCTCCAGCCGGGCCGTTACCTGCTGGCACAGCAAATGGTCAGGGGCGGTTCGCCGGTGGGCGTGGCATGTTGCAACTGTTAACGGGGATGTCGTGTCAAACGCTTTTTTGAATGGCGCATCAATAAGGACTGTTCGATATTGCCTAAAAATGCCTAGCTCAAGTTGCGAGTGGTAAGCGCTACACATTAGATCAAGGATGCAGGTACTTTGCATTCTATGATAAGCAGCACGGTCCGGCAACGGCAAGCTGGGCAAGGCATACGCAAATAGCATGCGAGCCACACCTGTATCACTGCCCTTCCGTGCATCGCTGTTCATGCCATCTCGGCCTATGCCGTCCCCGCTCGCAGCTGCCGCCGATGCTGTTGCAGCTGCCGCAGTACGCAGTGCCGCCAGCTCAGCACGTGTCTCCTCGGACAACTTGGCGGTGCGGAAGGTGGTCACAATGCTGCCGTTGCGCAGCGAGTAGAGAGCCTGCAAGGGACGTAGGGCAGGACCGCGTACATGGCGTGGCGTACATAAGCGTATGGACAGGCAGTAAGGCCCTGATCATTTCACTGCATGGTGCGTCCTACCGACATAGTACCGGCAACTTTGTAAACCGTTATATAGCAGCTCATAGACCCACGCTATGCCCGGGCTCAACAACTTTTTAAATCCGGCTCGCGGCTATCCTACCCCTACCCACCACGCGCTCCGTTTCCACGCCGTCTAGAAAATAGCTCCGCAGCTTGGCCAGCCCTAACCTCTGCCGCTCGCTCTCCCACGCCAGCTCCAGGCGCGCCACCTCCTCGCGCCGGAGAGCCTCTGCCTCCATAATATCTCGCAGCCCCGGGTCCACCTCGAGTTCTTCACGGCTCAGGCGCAACGCCTCCGCCTGCGCATCGTTCTCTGCGAGCAGGGCCTCAAACTCCGCCCTAATACGGGTCAGGCGCTCACGCACAGACAGCTTCTTTTCCTCGGCCATGCGAACCTGGGGTTGGGGTTGCGGGTTGCGGTGGCGACAGCGCAGTGAGCAGCAGTTAGCAGTACATAAGCAGATGCATAGCACGATGGAATACGGCAACTTGTTGTAACATGCGAAAGTTCAAGTCGCGCCCATAAAGATGTTCCATGAGTGCCATGTTTCCTGGGAGAGCGTCGCAATTGGCTAGGGAAAGAGCCAGTCCAACATTCCTGCGCGGTGTACGGGATCTAGGAACAGGCATCGCACCTGCTGGTCGCGTTCAGCCTGCTGCTTCTCCTCTTCGAGGGTGTAGGCAGTGGGTGACGTGATGTCCGTGAGAGCCAGCAGCAACCTGGCGTCGGGCAGGTCCTCCGCGGGTGGTTCCTGCGGCTCCACAGCGCCAAACAACTGCAGCGCCTGCAGGCAAACACAAATACCCACCGCATGGTGAGTGTACAAGATTGTGTATGCATGAGACATGGGTAGCAGCAGCTGTATGGATGCATCCATTACGAGTGCACCCAACCGGACAGCCAGCAACGACTCACCAGCAAGTGGACGGAACCATCTCGTCCAGCAGAAAGCAGGTACGCGCCGTCGTAAGACAACGCCACCGCCGTCACACGGCCAGTTTGCATATCATGTAGCGGGCTTTCCCAGCAGGGCCCCATGGGAGCCCCGTATGGCCCTGAGCAAAGCACGTGGCACAGTATATTTGCCGCAAACAGCGAACACAACGAGAAATGCTGTCGGTGACACAGCGACACGCGCCACGTGGCATGAATTCCTTGCAGATGGCATATGTCCATAGGAAACTGGCCACTCCAATGAAAGGGGGTGCGCGGTTGTGCGTGTGCATAAGGAGGATGTCGGTTACATGTGGGGACAGTCAGTCCTGTATATGAATCTGCCCGGAGCCGATGATGCCCACCGGCGCCAATTGCAAAGAGAATATTGAAACCACAACATTATGGCGACGCGGCAGTCCTAATACGGTGTACTCGACACCACGCCGTCCATGGGTGAGAGGCTTAACGGGACCCTCGAAGATAGCAGTACCCAGTTACTCACCATCCAGGGGCTGGACCCGCACCAAGCCATCCCCACTTCCTAGCAGCACTGTGTTCCCGTCCGCCGAGTAGCCGAAGAAAGTGACGGGCGCGGACGTAAAGCCCTCGAGCAGTGGAGTCGCCAGCGCCTCGCCTAGTTTCACGCGCCATACCTGCACGACCGGGCACCCGAACGTGAACGCACACATCGGCCTCGCATACACACAGCCAGCATATTTAACATGTAGGAACAGATGGGAGGTTCTGTCAAGCCACTGGCAGAGAGCTGATCCACAGAACAACCGCGTAACACACCCTGAGTGAGTGCCATGAATCCATAGCGCCTTCATGGATGCGCCGAGTTAGGGTGCAGATAGTAAGCAGCAGACAGACAATCAAGCAATCCCCAATGTCCCATTAGACGTAGGCTTGCAGCGCCAAGTAGCCTTTGTCCGCTACACCCCAGCCAGCCCTCCAAAGTCCCCCGCGCAGCTGTGGCATATAGATTTTACAAAATTGCCACACCTTGCGTGCTGCATGCCCGCTCCCGCCAGCCGTGACTAGCAGTGTAGCCGGGTCGTCAGGCGCCAGCGCGATGGTGAGCAACTCCGCGCTGGAGGCTGCCAAATCATCGGGGTTGCCCTCCTCGTCCTCCTCCACATCGCCCTCCTCCTCCTCGTCGCCACCGCCCTGCTCGGCCCCCTCGTCATCGCCCTGCGCAGCAGACCACACACGCCAAGGTACGGGCTCCCATCCTTTTAATGAACATGCGGACGGAATGCGCTGACACCGAATCCTGGTGCATTTCCTGGGCGGGCTGTAATAGTGGGCCACGGCTGCGATGGCGGATGTGACCATGCGGGATGGTTTCAAACATGTACACGCCAGCTCTCACACTTGCATGCCTATGGCCCTAGAGGTTAGTGAAGTACAGGGAAGCATACATACGCAAAGCCCCTTAAGATTGTGTCACAATTATGCCTGCGTGGGAAACAAGCCGTCCTCGTGCTAACCGGTGGGACCAATAGTTCTGCCTATCCCGCGCTCGGCCAGTGTCCCATACTCGCCTGGGGACTGCTTTTTGCCGCGTCGCCTTCTGCCTGGTCTTGGTCGCCGCCCTCCTGTCCTCCACTTCCCGCTCCGGCGTCATCTCCCTCCTTCCGACTGTTTCCCCCCTTGTCCTTCTTAGGCCGCCTAGGCTTCGGCACACAGAAATTGTACGAATGTACAACCGCTTCCGTCCACTCGTACGAGTGATGGGTGTCGAAATCTTTCGGCGGCAGAGACACCTGATGCGCAGAGCGGGGCAGATGGCACGGCAGGTTCATCATGTCTGCCGCGGATGCCAATCCATTGGCCCATGTTTTCAGTCGCATCCTGAAGCACCGCACAGTTCAGCACGAGCTCACGTAGACACCGATGGGATGCCTCACCGACGGGATAACAAACCGAGCTCCCAGTACCAGTGCCCGCATTAACACCATTAACAAATTAACCCCGGAATTCCCTACGGCAGGCCCGTAAGCACCTGCAGAATGGTGCCCCGGCTGGTACCCAGCAGCAACACTACGCCATCCGCACTCCACGTGGCGCATGCCACCGTGCCGGTGCCCTGTGCTAGCCGCACGTACGCGCGCGGTACCAGTACGCCACACGGCGGCGCCGCCGGGACCCCATTTGCCGCTGTCGACCCAAGGGACGCCAGGTCGAAAAAAAAGACCGTGCCGTCCTCTCCGCAGGACGCCAGTCGGGCTGCGTCCTGCGACACCGCCAGCGCCAGGACGGAGCCCTTGTGGGGCTTGGCCACGCCTGCCAGGGTAAGGTTCTGTGGAAAGGGTGACGTATCCGCATCCACGCCGTCGGGTGCATCCAGGTCGACCAAGGGCCCGCTCCGGGTGTAAACCCGGACGACACCGTCACGGTAGCCCGCGACGGTAACCATACCGGCGACTCCAGTGGAGGCAGGGATGGCGGCAACGGCAGTAATGGGCTGAGATCCGGGAGCCTCTGCAAGGATTGCGCCGGTCCTGCGTATATCACATTGTTGGAATGTGCGATAGGGACGTGATGGCAGTTGGTCCGTGGATTGCATTCGCAGATGAGACGTCGGCACCCGTACAATTAATCCTTGATCTCCGCGAGGCTTCCATGTCTCCTGTGGGACCTTTCCTTTGCCCCGGCTCCTCTAGACCTAGAGACCTGCGCCGGGCTGCCCGGTTCACGCTAATGGCAGATACATGTTAGCATCCTACTCCTACAAGAGCGAGCATTGCCGCTGCCGTTCCCTAATGGGAACGGAAGGGAACCGCGCCGACGTATTCCCAGCAAAGCCTTGCCAAGCGTTTGGCGCACCTGTAGTCGAGTACACGCATTTGGCCATCCCGGCTGGCGATTATGCACACATGCGAACGAGGTGACAGCACCAGTCCCGCCACAGCGCCAGCGGGATGCCTCCCCGCGCAGAGGATGGAAGCACCCTTGCCTGCGGGGAACGTCAGGAGGTACCGCCACTGGTTCGACAAAGGGAAAACTTCGCCTCTCAGCGATGCTACCGTTGGCCTACACTTACTACTGTAGGAATAGGAGGAATATGTTAGAAGGTAGGGTAGGCATCCTAGGTGATACACGTACTGAGACTCACTTATGGCGCCTGACACCGGCAAGGCAACCACATAGATGCGGCCCGCCATGTCCACCGCCACCCAGCGCCGACCCTCCCACAGCAGTGACACCAGGTGCGCTCCCGGCGCCACCGGAACCTCGTCCAGCGGCTTCAGCTCCAGGCTGTGACCGTCCTCGCGCGGCTCAGCATCATTAACCTAGTGGCATACGGTTGCAGTGTCCGGACAACACGGAATGAAAAATGACGTAAGGTGCATGTGCAGGCTGTCAGGCATCGGCGACCGGGCGCATGGCACCCCGCAACAGTTGCCCCATGCACGCTGCGTACCTGGTTGAAATCCCACACACGGACGTATCCGTCGGCTCCTGCGGAAAGAATGACTCCTGACGCCCGATCGTGCAGCAGCACCTCCACTGGGCCATCGTGGCAGGCCTTGCCGCCCGGCCGCAGCAAAACCACCTGTTGCAAGTAATTGAGCCAGTGTGGAAGAGACGGAATGAAATTCTGCAAAGCCCCATAATTACGAGGGTGTATGCGGGGGTCCTCACGACATGTTAACTGCTAATTTGCCATGCACAAAGCTCCATGAAAGCCACTGCGTACAGCGCTCACAAAGGGCTTAAGTGCCTGCTTGGGTATTGGGTACTTTGGGGTGTAGGGCTAAAGGGCTGCCAAACTGCATCGAAACGTTCCTATACTGGGCTACTGCTTCAGCCTCTCCATGATTATGAGTGCTGCCGACAGCCGGCCAGTTGCCCTTAACGCACTTTGATCAGCCCTCCATCCCACAGCAGCAGCTCGCCGGTCTCTGTCGTGGACAGCACCTTCCCGTCCGGAAGCTCCACGAAGCCCGCCACGTCGCTTAGCTCCACGTTGCCGAACTTGCCCAGGGCACCCTGCAGCTTTAGGCCCGTAAATGTAGAGGCCATGCGCCAGAAGCGGATATGGCCCTGGCCTGCAAGGAGGCGAACGATGGTTACCAGGAAAATGGATCCCACGTGAGGTGGTGAGCCAAGCAGATACTATGCCTCTTGGCACTCGGACGGGCAACACACGGTCCGATCATGAGCCACGCAACCGCCTATCGACAAGACAAGGCACGAGCCCACAACTCGATATCATGTACGTTAGCAGCGCTCAGCGTAGCTTCTTGGACGTGATCTCCTAGAGCCCCAGCCGGTCCGCCGGTCACTGCTCGCAAACATCTTCCAAGTTGCTTGGTGCCCAGGAACTTTAAAAGGGAACTCAGGAAAAGTGGGTCCCAACAGCACTCACCTGAGGTTGTCAGCTGGCCCTCGAAGTAGGGCGAGAATGCCACCGTATAAACATCCTGGCTGAATGCCTTCGCTCGCAAGACGATGGACTCAGAGCGCCAATCCCACAGCGTGAGTAGGAAGTCGGGGAAGGAGCCCACGGACGCAAGCGTGTCGCCCTTCAGGTCAAAGGCAAGGGCACTGTACGCGCGCTCCGTGCCAGCACGCAGCACCTACAAGTAAGCGAAGGATAAACATTCGGGTGAATGCCATCACTGTGCATTGACCAAACAGTGTGCTAGCTCGAGGTCGATACACGCGGTTCGCGGCAATCACGAGAAATATGCACTGCGGCATCAAAGGCGCAACCGGTTGGGGTTCATCCCCAGCGCACACTGTCCGCGCCACGTGGGTGCGCTTACATCGTGGGGATCGCATGGCACCGCACCTTAATGCACTTGAGCTCGGGATACGCGTAGATGTACACGCAGGGGCCTGTGCTCCCACGGGCCTTCTCGCCGATCGCCAGCAACGTCCGCGAAGGATGCACTGCAACCGCCCCCACTCCGCCGCCGTCCAGGCCACGCAGGTAGCGGCGGTGGCTAGTGTTCAGCGATACGAACACCACATGGGATCCGATACACGTCACCAGCGTATCTTCATCGAGGAGAAGCGCGTTATTGTGACGGTGTGTATCCATACCCAATACCGCCAGTATTTGTGCACGGCTATCAACGGGGGCGCGGAGCTCTTCAGCAGGATCGGCAGCAACCGGCTCAATCCCATCTACTGGTAGTTCCTGCCCTTCTTCCGCCTCTTTGACGCCCACGGCTTCAGATTCCCCTTCAAACTCTAATGCCTCTGCAGGCCCCACACTGGGTGCGGCTGGCGCCCTACCACCGAAATCTGTTGCCAGCGTGCTCGGCCCCGCCATGGAATCTGAGGGAGGAGGAAGTTCGTCCGCGGCTGTGACTGTGCTGGCGGGGTCTGCCGCAACAATGTCATCCTGTGGACGGACATTATCGGCCTCCGGGGAGACGTCCGTTGCTCGGGAGCTGCTGGCGCCTGTTGGGTCGGTACCTTCTGGCCCGTCCTCTGGTGCCCTGTAATCCTGAAGTACACGCACGTCGACAGCCATCCCCTCAACTAAGCTGCCAGTGTCCTTCAAGTCAGGAGTAGATAGTGCAGGCAGCTGTGCAGTGGACACCAGCATTTCATTTGCGTTTCCAGGGCTTCCCTCTAGGCCCCCGACTACTGCATGTGGGTTTGGCGCTAGCTCAAGTGTCTCCCCTGAAACAGGTTGTCCGTCCTGTTGGCTTTGAGGTCCTCCTAAATCCTCAAGCGTTGGCCCGCCGTCCGTGCCACCAGGTTCGGCAGCTGCGTCCTCGCCAGTCGAAGGCCCACTTTGCCCATGTCTGCCATGACCATCGAGACTTAAGCCATTGCCTCCATCCAGTGTGGAGGTGGTTAGTTCATCTCCGTTAGGTGGCCTTTCCATTTGATTCTCAAATGCAGTGCCGTCCATACATCTCCCGACGCCCTTAATTTAACTGTACGTTATATCCAGAGGTTCAGCATCATTATCTATCGATGTAGCTTTTAGGGTTGCGTACAGATTATGTATTGCTGCCAAGTTAAAAAAAAGGAGTGCAAACGGCAAGCTTCTCAAGTAACAAGAACAAGAAATAATCATGAACAAATTGTTATGAGACATGGTAATGGTAATGGTAGGAACTCCGAACGCACTTCGAAAATGGCTCCGAGACCCAGCGTCGGGTTTCTGTCATACGTCGGCAAATCGGTTTCTTCGGCTTCGAGACGACTTTATGTTTCTCATATATGCATTGTTTTGGTGCCCGTTGGGGCCGAGGAGAAGGCTGCATGCCGTACAAGCCTCTTTCTGTTCGTGTTTAGACACAGGAGGCGCACTTCCACAAGCTTACGCCGTTATTGCTGAATGCATGCCCGCATCAACTAAATTAGGTTGCTTGGTCGTAGTCTTGGTCGTATTTTGGCGCGTCAGTATCACAGTATGCTCCCTAGCAAATATGTAAAAATTTCCGCGTCAGTATGCTCTAGAGCGGTATGCTCTGACATGCTCCCTAAACATTTCGTACCATGTCACCTGAAGGCCACTGGGCAGCCCTGCGGAAGACATGCTCTTTATTTACAGCATGTACAAGGATGCCAATAAAACACACAATTGGGATGCCGTCACCAATGTTGTAGCACGTGTTATATGTCTAATACTTTTCCAGCGCGGGCGTCACCAATTGTACGACGCACGGCAAATTTTCATAACTTGTAAAAAGCTAAAAAGGCTAAACGAACAGCTTTATTACTTCTTGAAGAATGATATATTGACGAAAACGCTGGCAAGAGGAGGGAAGGGGAAGGGGAAAAAGGCGAGGGGAAAGGAGAAAGGGGGAGGACGGGGGAAGAAAAGGAAGGGCAGGAAGGGCGAAGGAGAGTGGAAAGAAAAAAATGTTTTGAAGTCCCGTCGGGGAAGTCTGGGGGCCGCAGCCTCCCAGAAAACATTTTGGAGTTTCACCATGCTGCTCAAGCTGGTGATGCGCCTCTCGGGGCTCTTGAAATATAGGGGGGATTGGAATATAGGAAGGGAGGGAGGGAAGGAGGAAGAATCTGCTTATGCCCCGGAACGGCCTTCACTGTCCCACTGTAATAACCACACACACTGGCTTAGCTTTGTGACCGTGAAAATGGTGATCAGGCAAGGCCAAAACATGAACGGTACCGGCGTGTTATGCGCCTTATACCATCACAATATTCGTCACACAAAACGATCTCCGGGCCGTCACCAAATGCAAGAATCGTTGCAAATTTTCAGGACCTTTTTAGGCCGTCCCCAAAATTTCTGTCACCAATTCGTTCGGGCATTACGGTAATCAATGTTTATTTCGGCAACAGGCAGTGGCTACGTGTTTCGCCGATGGCCTCTAACCAGCTTGCGCCATGTCACCTGAAGGCTAGTGGCCAGCCCTCCCTGCGACATGCCCTTCATTTGCATGTTTGCAATCCCGCAACTGGCACGTGGCTTACGCCCAACCTTTGCTCTTGGCCCTCAAAAGACCGCGCGATGTGAAGCGCCTTTCGTCGAGGAAAACATATTCCCTCCAAATTGATAATAATTTCTTGCAATTTTTGCCCATCAAGCTCCCCAATTGGGGAAATTCCCCGGACCTCCACCAGAAGGCCCACCAGCTAAAGCTGACAGGAACTTGCACGTTGTTACTAAACTAGGTCTGTGCTCCAAAAGGAAAAGAAACCGAAATAAAGAAGTGGATGAGCTAATAGCTCATCGTCCATCGGTGCCCGCTCTCGTGAACATAAGAACTTATCCGGCACAATTCGCAAGAAAGGGTGACGTGATTCTACCGAATTCCATCTTTCCGTGGAACTCCCAGAGCTGCAAAACCCGAAGACGGCCCCAAAAGTCAGCAACAACTCGATCCATGGCGCGTCCTGTAAGGGAAGGGCCAGGTATCAGTGCCGGGTCGGACTTCATTGTTGCAGCCTTATATCGCCGCCCGTGCCGAAACCGCGGCAAGAGCCACAACATCCCAAGCACATATTTGCACTGGTTGTGGAGCCAAAGTTGCTCCCGCGACACTGGCGATCCTATTGACAGATCTGGTCCACTACTGTCTGTGCCACCGGACAGTCCCAGAAGTGCTAGCGCGGGGATACAACCCCCAGTGAACCAACTGGGTAACCTCACCAACTAACCACACCCTGCTGGCCTCGACATTCTGAGGTGAATACTTCCCAGCATAGGCAACCCATCAACCCGTGAGACGCCACCACACCTTTTTTTTGTTCATTTTCCAATATATGGGGGACCACAAACGATGGAAGGTCCGTTGCAAAGTAGGAAAAGCCTCACCCGGTACCTCAGCGACGGGCCCCAGGAAGAGGGTTATCGTAGTGTCAGTCAGGCAATCCCGAGCTGTCAATTAATGCGCTTTCCATAAACTTATCACTTGACCAACACGGACACAATGCCACTTCAGTGCTACATTTGCATGGATTTTTTACTAGCAGTGCGAACATGTTAGGGCGAAGGTGTGGTTTATTAGCAGTGCGAACGCCCATGTCTTGACTTTTGCCGGACCTACTTGACCAGCTCGACTCTATTCCCGTATAGTCTACCAAACATGCTATCAGCAACACCGGAAGTGATCGGCATTTGCCATTATCCTTCTAATGCTCCTGCTTTTGAGACTATTTCCTGCTCGTTCCTTAAGCAATATTCTGTGTTGTGCTCGACCGTTTACAATTTCGTGGGGCCGCCCGAAATGTCCAAGGCGCTTTTGGATCCTGCCATCTAGATCCCTCCTCATGCAGTCACCCGAATATCGGTACGAGACAGCAATTGTCACCAGCCCAGCATGCGAAACTTAATCCATGAACTGTAACCTCATCTCCGCGTCGCAGCGGCCAGCCATAATCTCATATCCTAAAAATCAATGTTGGAGAACCGCCCAGGAGTTGATCCCCAGAACCTTATTCTGTTAAATGCAGTGGTGTCACCAGAACACTGGGATTAAGGTTCATCAGCGTACGCTGGCTATTCTCCGGCAATGCTCTGTTACAATCAGCCGAAACAGCAAAGCGCCGGACCCCTCATATCCTATTATGATGTGTGGAACAGGGGGTAATATCTTCGCCCGTGGCAGCTACCCTGCGAAACCCTGAATTCCCTGGTATTTTGGGACACCCTCATCCAGTCACCTTAGTCAACTTCTCAGTGGATCGCGCGGGTTCCGCACCCACCACCAGCATTCAACGGAACCTGCCGTATCGACGACGGCCCAACTCCATTCCTGGTCGGCTCGCAGGTTAACTTAATCTCAGGTCACCACCGTCCATCAACTAGGGCCACTTTACTTTCCACCATCGAACATAGTTTCGATTCTGACAGGTCTCGATCCCATGATCTCCCGGGGGCAGTAATCGTGCCGTACCAGTTGTACCTAACCTGTTACTACTGGCATTACTGTCTAACATTTCGCTTATGTATTTGCGTGGAGTCATCTTTGAACACGCACATAATAATGAGCTTGCTTCACTGGACGGGTCCTTGCTTTGCTCTTGTCAAACCCTTGAGCATCGGGAAGCAGGTCTGTGAGAGTTGTGTATGGCAGACCTTACCCCTTTGCTTGGGTTGTTTTGAGGAGCTCAGATGTTTTAGGTAAGAGAGTGCTCGTAGCTGAATCTATCCATACCCAGTGTTTCTGTTTTCATTTTTGCCCGTCAACTTTCCAGTCCGAACAGAAGAATAGGTTGTCGCTTGAATAAAATTATTCCTTATCTGAAAGCCGCTGGAGGGGCCGGAGGGCCCCCCAGACACCCCGATGAGTTACAGTTTAATTCGTACAATTGCAGGGTTTGGGGAATGTCTAAACACGCACACACCACAATCTCTCCAGAACGGTGTCTCTTACACGCCAGGAAGCGGCGCGCACTTAGGCGCTTTGACAGGATGCCCGGTTGCATGAGGCGACTGCTGTTTCCAAGAGCTTGCAGAGCCCAAGCAAACACATACCAGTTAACCCCTACTCAAGCACTGAAATAGAGTTCGTTCGCCGTCGTTCGTTTTGCATCACGTTGAAAGACATGACTCTCCAGATTGCAAAAAAAATGATGCATAGCAGCAATGAACCGGAACCGCCAAACGCAACCTCCGCGGTTGGTTGCAGCCCTTGCTGTTGACGCTGCACGCTACTTAGCAGTTTATCAGGTACCGGCCTCTACGGCCTCTACGCCGTCTTCATCACTGTCGCTAATTGCTTCAGTGAAGTTAGATTTCTGGTCTTTGGTGACCTGTCACGCTTTGGGAGCATCGGATCAAAATGTTTTGCAGCGTTTGATCCGGTCAGAAACAGTCCGATTCCTCGTTGACTCACGGGTGTGACCTTCCTAACAATATCCATGGCATTGAAGTGCTATGATATGGTTAACATGTTTTAGTATGCCTTCTAGGGGCTTTGGCATGGACAGGCTGTCCAGGACAGCTCTTTTTTGTCTGGAGCAATGAACTTGTACGGTCGGAACACAATGGCATGTTAACCCAGCGACCGCAACCCCAGTTCAACCCCAGAACCCCAGTTAAGTCGGACAGGGCCGACGCGCTCTTGAGACTTGTGCCTAATACCGCGTACCGCGCACCGACATCTGAGAGCAAAGGGAACTGACTATAATACATGATGATGCATGACGTGTTCTACCAAGAATCCGCCGCTTTTCGAGGCCAAATCCTTACCCAGCATCGCTGCTGTTGTCCGCCTGTACGGCCGGCCGCTGGCGCTGCACTTCCTGGGATGATCCACTCTCGGAAGTGATGATAGACGCAAAAAGTGCAAAGGCCTATTGCATTCCCTTCACGCCTTTAGGAAGTTAAACTCGAACCAGGCGAGAAGAGGTTGGCAATCAAGGGTTTGAAGTTGAATATGCACATAGGGATCCCACTTGCTTGGGACATGGCCGATTCAGACGTAGTTGGTGTCAAGGATTGCCGCAAAGACTACGTTGGAAGTCCGCCTCAGACCCTCGAGCAAATAGCAGAAATGGAGCAGGGGTTAGCCAAAGCGGTAGAGTAATAGCAGGGTAGTCGATAAGGATTTGTGCACTATACGTTATTTCCCTAGTCGTCCATTTCTCCGAGTGGTTTGGCCAGCTGGCATCTTTCAGGTGACTCATGGAATTTTCACAAGGATGTACGTACGAGTCACGATAGCTGTTCGTGCCCCGTCCCTTGAAGGAATACCTCCGCAGACCTTACAAATCAGCCCTTCACCCTAACTTAAACTCAAGAAAGTCAGTCCTACATATTTGCTTTGCACGCTACGAAGGCCGTCATGGACTGCCCTTCACAGCACAGGAGCATGACATACACACATGGGATGAACCCGCACATTATGCAAACCAGGAGTTCACTTTTTCAAGCGTCGCACCAAACCGGATGCTCTTTTCAAGCGTCGCACCAAACCGGATGCTCTAAGCATAGATAGGCCTCACATACGGCCTCACATACGGTACATCTAAGCTTACCACCTTTCACGTTCACCTTCCTTTTGTCAGCTGTGGTGCTTATAAGCTTATTAACCCAAAACGCCCACAATTCCGCACACGAGAATCAACCCGTGAAGTAAAGCCAGATGTGCAGCCCGAAACCCCCAGCAGCCAGCGATACCTCAAGCAAACAGTAACAACGGGTTTTCGATCTGTGCCTTGAACGCCACTAGCCACTCCGCGCCCATTGCGCCATCAATTACGCGGTGGTCGCAGCTGAGTGTCGCCAGGATGGTAGGCACCTCCTTGAACACACCATCAACGCGCGCAATGGTGGGCGTCATGGCACCGACTGCCAAGATGGCCGCCTGCACCCAGAGAGCGGACCGGGAATGGACCTAGCTGGTGAGTAGGGCTTAGCCCGCCAGGAAAAGTGAGCCGCTGCGAAATGCTCACCAAAAATCGCTGAGGTGAGCAGCATTAGGGACCAGTGAATGAGTGTCTGCTAAGCGCTATCAAGTTGCATGCGCAGAATGTTTCGGTTCGCGGAGAGTTCGGAAGCACTGGCAGACTTGCTCTGGCAGACTAGCGTTAATTACCTGTGGTGGATTGACAATAGCGGCGAACTGTTTGATGCCGTACATGCCGAGGTTCGAGACCGTGAAGGTACCACCCGCGTAGTCCCCAGGAAGCAGCTTGCCCTCCTTTGCCTGCACGTGGCAGCGGCTGCAAGAGTTGGACCATGCCATCCGGGGGAAAACGCCAGGCATTGCACCTCTGCCAACCACCACAGATACGGTAATGAAAGGGACAGCAGGGCGTCCTGCATCCTGTTCCATAACCCGGACCGCGGCAGTCCATTCATCTCCCTCCCCATTATGCAGCGGCAAACCCAGGTGTAGTAGCCTCCACGACACGCCGCTGCTCACCTTCCCTGCCAGAGCACGGATCTCGGAACTAATTGCACCGAGGCTCTTGAGATCCGCATTCCGCACGATTGGTACCTGCCAGGAAAATATGAAGACGGCAGATCTCAAGACACGCGACCTCTACCAGAAAAGATAGCGCCTTTCCAGTCGGTAAGTTCTCATCCCTTTCTCACCTACACCGTTCCTCATTACCTGGAATTGGCACTTTGGGGCGTCACTAAGTGTTGGACAAGCAAGGTACTAGCCTTTCTTACTAGCTTAGGAACGGAACCCCCCACTAATACGCGCGGTAATGATCTCATAGTGTATTACGCCACCCTTAAATTGCCAGTCGAGAGCATTCTTAAGGTATTTGCCAAGCGGCTTAATGAACGGTGGGAGTGCCCGAATACCTTGGGTGACCCCCAACTTTTCCCCATAGGGATTACCGGAGCCAAGGCTTGTCGCTATATGAACTGGATGGGAGCGGCCCCGCCTAGCGCGTCTCGATTGGTTGGAGCACACTAAAGTGACCATGCCCCAGCGACTACATCATGTGCTCATGCGTTTCCGGTTAGGCTGTTGGGAGTTAAGAGGTTGATAGCCTAATGGGCGTGGGCGCACCGCGCGTACCTGCAGGCTTTGTGACTGTGGAGCGGTTGAAGATGTGTTGCATGTTTTCGATGAATGTCCCGCTTACAAGAGCATACGGGCTAAGTATGATGGTGATCTCGTCTTTAGGGGACGCGGCATGCGAACCATTATGACTGAGGCGCCACCCCTGGCATTGGCCAGGTACCTCTCAGAAATTTGGGAGGCCAGGCACGTCGCGCTGAGGCGCTTCACCCTAAAGCGGACGAGGGAGAATGATGATGACCTCCCGCGTACCCGCATCAATACCAATATAACGTCCATGGCCCCCCGGCTTTTACGGACACACCCGCACTTGTGTGGAGAACTTGTAACTTGTAACATTACACTCCCTCGCCGGTGCAAATCCTTTCTAACTGCGAACCTAGCTATTAGAGGTCAGTTTTGCCTTTAAAATTAGTGTCCTTCACCGGAAAAGATACAAGGCAGTCCTTGGTGCACCTTTACCTGCAGGCCTGATGGTGTTTGCACTGCAATGCTAATGTCGACGTTGTTGTACTGGCGAATGAAGTCGGGAAACCAGCTTGCGTTCACGCCTGCGGCAGAAATCGCAACATGGCCGCTTCTAGGGGCAACTCTCACACGTCAAAATGGGGGTTTAAACAGGCTAGCAATCAAGCATGCGGACTCGCAAAATGAGCGCGCCCGTCCGACAGCTGAAACCATATTAATGGCTTTGACCCTCCTTTTCTCCTATGTTAGCATGACGGCACAAGCCCTTCCCCGCAAACATTACATAAGCCGTAAATTTGGACTCAAATTCAATAATTGGTCAGGCCCAGCCCAACGGACAACATTACCTGGCACTTCCTTGAGAGCCTTGGCTGCGGCCTTGACCACGAAGTCGTTGACGCTCAACTTGGGTGCCACAGCACCGCCCTTACCGCCCTTTTGCCCCGCCGAGTTCAGTGCGTTCAAACGCTCCCGGAGCTGCTGTATTTCTTCAACCTGTGGCGGGATCCGGTCCAACATTCCGTGCATAGCTTGGTCAAATCCAACATTAGCTACCTTCCCGACTAAGACTGAACGGAAGTCAGCCTAACCCATTTAAACAAGATCAGTTCGCGGGTTACAGAACTAACCTCATACAGAGATTTCGACGACTAAAGGCAAACATCTTAAGATTTGTAAAAACTTCAAACGAAAACACGACGGTGTTTGCCTTATTGTGATGAAATATTGCTGAAACTGAAATCCTTGCTTGTTCCCCAAGCTAGCACGAAGCCGAGCCGAAAACATGGCGTCACTTTTTGTCGCACCCTGCACTCCATAGTGAGGTAGTAGTGCGGCACCGTTTGCTTGCTCTCCAGCAGACGCCGAGCCACCACTCTCCGGATCTGGTTATGCGGCAAGTCAACATATGCCGCGGCCGTGTCTGCTTGTGGCGTGGCCGAGCTGACAGCGGCGGGCGCTGCAACCGGTGGAATGGCAGCCGCCGACCCAGTGGCACCGCGCACGTCATCTGCGACTATGCGCCCCACGGAACCGGTGCCAGAAAGCGCCTGCGGATCAGTTTGCGAAGCATCACAACATACAATCACTGCTAAGTCTTAAATCTCATTCCTGGATTTCCACATGGTTTCCTCTGCTCGTTGTCCGCTTGCACTTCGCAGCACTGGTTTCCTATGTGAGCCACTCCAGGTCCATTACACTTTTCAAGGCGGCTGGAGTTGCACACTGCTTGGTCGGGTTGGCATGGCGCAACACTTATGTATAAGCATGCAACCTGCACGGACCGCTATTCATGATTGCACGGGTAGCGACAATACCGTTCTTTCCCCAATTCAGTGTCCCACCCGCGATGTTCTCACGTCTAGCGCCGGGCTAGATGTGAACACGCAGAAGGCACGGTAAGCTAAATCATGACCCTGCAGCGGCTGCTGTAGATGGTAACAACTAACCTCAAGCGCCACGCCCAACTCAGCTGCCAGCTTCCGGGCGTATGGGCTGGCACGTAGCCTGCCTGTGCTGGCCGCGGCCGGAGCCGCAACGTTCGTCTCTGCCGGAATGGAATAACAGCGGGGTTCACGCCGCGACCAACTTAACATCCATGTAGCATACGTGTTGCCTTAACAGCTAAACTTGGAGCAACACAGTACTTGGACGAGTAAACCCGGACGTGTAACCGAGCTCAAGCAGGAAAGCAAACCATCTACAGCACATATCGACACAAATTCTCAGAGTTTGAAATTGCAGGAGGCGACTGTCCCCAACAAAATCCACGAGATCGCCACACAGACGCGTCCGGAAAGTTATTGTACAATCAGTAAGTGCCATCGGTAACAGGGGAGACCATGCATACTAGGTTTTTGGGAACGATTGCGCAGCTGCTAGCATAACATTTGGTGCCCAAGCATCAAGAGCACTGGCAGAATAAGGCTGCATAAGGAACAGCCCCTGGCCTAGTAAATGATGAACTTGCTCGGTGGTAATAGTCCGGACGCCATGCACACACCACGCCCCTGATCCACGTAAACTACCAACCTCCGGTCTCTGGTGGCCTCTGCACCGATACAGCACTGGCCGGTGGCACCTCAGCCTTCGCAGCGGTGGCGGTTGCAGCGGCCGGCGCGGGGGGGGTTTGTTCTCCCGAAGCTGCGTCCGATGCCGTAAAACTGGCAAAGAAAGGGACTGTCTCCTGTGGCGGGCGCGAATAGAACATCCTCAGCTGCCATGTCCTGCTTCATACGCCGACACCGTATGAAAATTGTCCAACCCTAAGACATCCGGGAGAGTTACTTTCTACTACTCTGGGTCAAGAAGGCCCTGCGTGTCATTCAGCACCTCGATATGTATAGTAAAATCTGAACACATCAGAGGACGATAGGAACCCTACGTGACTTCAAATGAAGAACCTGACACATTCCACAGCTGTACTGGGGGCTAGCAAGTCGGGCGATCCCTTATCACCTGTAACCATCAGCGGTCCCACCTTGTCGTCAACAAGCACCAGCGCTGGTCGTCCCACCTCGATGTCCTTTGCACCATCCGGCAGCAGTATGCGGGCCACGAAGCCTAGCAGGGAAATGTAACAGGCAGTCCACATGGTAAGAGGCAGTGATGAGGATACGTCCACATAGCGTGTAAGTAAATAGCTTCCTAACCTTCTTCCTGGCTTTCCCATGAAATTGTAGCCTTATCAGTTTCAACCTCACAATACACGTCGCCAGGAGCGACTGGGTCGCCAACCTGCATAGGCAACGGAATGAAATACGTCAGGTTAGGGAGGTAGCAGGGTAGGGAGTCAAGGGGCCATCAGCATTTCAGCGCCTAAAAGTACAGCACCATGTGCACCTTTTTCTTCCATTCGACGATGTTGCCCTGGCTCATAGTGGGTGAAAGCGCAGGCATGTTGAGAACCTGCAATAGGCTCAAACCACGGGACTTCACCACGCAGCGGGTAACATCGTCGATATTAACCAGCTTGTATCATGCAGCTATCAGAGGCACAGTGCTTTAAGCTAGATCATGCTAACCTGGTGTGGCGGTAAATGGGTGGACTTAGGCAGCTCTGAAGTGGCGGGCTGAGATGCTGCTGCTACCGGTGTTGCAGGCGATGATGCTCCGGGAGAAAAGGATGCCAATCCCGCGACGTCCCCTGCTTCCTCAGCGAGGACCGCCACAGGGGTGCCGACAGCAATATCCTGCGTGCCTTCTGGCACCAGATGCTTCGCCATGAAGCCCTCTTCTTGGGCTTCCCATTCAATCGTAGCCTTATCCGTCTCAACCTCCGCCAGAATCTGTCCAGGTGCAACTTGTTCACCAGGTTGCTTCCGCCACTTCGTGATGTTTCCCTGGTTCGCAGCCCAAACAACCCATGTAAGGCGGTCCTTATGGAGAAAAATGAAAGATTAAAGAGCTCACCTGAGTCATCGTCGGCGAGAGTGATGGCATGTTGAGCACCACGTGAGCAGGGTCTGCATGATCGGCTTGGAGGTAAAACACAGCACCACGTGAAACTGCGCACACTAAGCCTTATCCTCCACTCACATGAAGCGAGAAAGCGTGCATGGCTTGCGCTTGATAACCACGGCAGGCGACCGACAGTAGCCCTGCTCGCGCATGTGTGGCGGCATAAGCAATCATAGCACTGGAAGCTGCAATAACGCTCATCATCACGCACCATGTTAGATTGCTTTCTGTTGTTGCTGCCCGGGCTATCTTTAGCACGAGTCGCTGAGCTCCGGACGACATCCTGTAAAGTAACTGAACAAGACTTTATTCTCCACTCATAATTGGAATAAGCGCCTACGATCATAATCGCATGGAGCAGTATTGTCTTTATTTGCAATCCACCAGCCACTGCTAGTCGTTAGTGCTGTACAGAGGCTTACAAGATAAATTGTCCCATGCATACGCGGCGGAATACTAACAGATATTTCAAAGTTCCAAAGGTCCCAATGCGTCTGTCCCCATTCTGCCCTTAAGGCGCTTACAGGTTTTCATGCTGGCCCTGGGAAGTGGGAACGTCGACTATAATCAACTCCCTGCCATTAGGACCGCCTGCAGAACGTCCTATTGTAAAGTTCGGTGACGGTGGCATTAAAGACAGCTTGTGTCGTTTAGCTCACCGTGGGACGCTCGCTGCGAAGGCAACCATACACAGCAAGACCCGCATTACTCCCCTCTCCATAAACCCCGCATTACTCCCCTCTCTTACTCCCATTATAATCCTTTTGTAAGCTCTGTTTGGTCGGTCGTTAACCTCTAATCTCTGTGGGTTGCCCACGCCAGGGCGCGATACGGCCACACCCACCGTATGTGAGCCGTAACACCAAAGCCAAATACAACACGCGAAAACAACAATATGAAGTGGGTAATGTCGTTCATCAGAGGCAAACCCGCGCGTGGGCAAAAGGGCCTGAAAGGAATAGTTCGGCCACCAGCAGTCAGAGAGGTCAGCTGCTAAAAATAAAGAGCAGTGAGGCCCATTCACTGCCCCTCAAAGCATCAACCCTGTAGGATGTTCAAGCCTAACTATATAAACATTTTCTTACGAGAAACCGAACGGACTGTTCACCCTGCTGCATTAACAGCTCGCTCTTTGCACAACATACAAAGGGAAAGCAATCGCCACCTGAGGGTTGGGGACAGGCAACATACAGAGCGGCGACATCGCTGTCCAGCCAATTCAAGGACGTCCTCCACAGTAACTGCCGTAGCTTCGCCCCGGCCAGCACGGCACGGTAACCACAAATGAAGAGGCGGTTGTTGAGGAGCGGAAGGCGGAAGCCCGTCGCGTGGCAAAATCATGCTCAAGTATGAACAGAACACAGAAGCCAAAAACGACCGGATCTATTCCAGGTATCCAGGTACGCGCATCCAGACCTATTATCCAGCAGTTCCCTTGCCTGCCCACTACATGGACCTGCCCAGTGACCAGCAAGTTACAAGCATTGACCGACTTGAATACCGGAAGTGATTGGCCCCAGTGGCACCGGATCCACAGAGGTGTACCGTCCGGGGTGCTGGCTGAACTGCTACTTGGGCTACGGTGGAGGCTGGGGCTGCTGCGTCTGCTGCTGGTCTGAAGCGAGGAGCTGCTGCGGCTACTCCTGTGGCGGGAGATCCTTGTGGCTGCTGTGGTGCTGCAGCTGCTGTTTGCTGGTGGCAAGTGCATGCTTGCACTGAGGCCATGACCCGCGTCTGCTGTCGGGTCGGGAAACTATGTGACTTGCTAATCGCCACGCGCAGTCCGCAGTACGCGCATGCATAAGCGAACTGGTTCAGCCCAGCAGCGTGACAGCGCGGGCCGCGGACTACTTCATGCTGCAGCTGTTTAGAAGCGTACGAGCGAGCGATGTGATCCACCTCGGGCCGCTGGGCGATGGACCATGTATACAACTGCTGCACATTGGGCAGTGCTGGAATGTGTATGATGGCTAGGCTACATGGAAGGTTACAACCGTTTCCTAAAATGAAAAGGGCGGTACAGCTAAAGTGCGCAAACAAGCTGGCTCCACACCCAAGCCACGCTAAGAAAGGGCGTTAAGCGGCCCAGAGGGAGCAAGACCAACGTCATCAGCACAACACCAGCAGCACTATGCTGAGATTCCCACAACGTTACAGACCCTTCTTCCTGAGACACTGTAGCCGACATGATCTGGTACATAGGAGACACCCAATTGCCATGCTAATAGGACGACTGATCGATGAGAACTGCACCTACGCAAGCGCAGTGGCAACATCCGATGATTGTGCCCCGCTACGCAACTCCTGTCCATCCCCTGCTGCTTGTTGCTGTGAGGCCGCGTCCAGCAGCGCCTGCGAGCACCCCGCAACGCCAGGACACAGGAAAGTGGCGGTCGCTGCATGGTACGGAACGGCGATGACCCAGAGGCCTTAGGCTTATCGTCTTTCCATCTTTCTTTCGAGTCTTTGGTGACAAGGTCTTTCGCAAAACAGAGACAATAAAGCATCTGGCAGTTGCCAGCGTACGTTCTTTATCATGTATGCAGTAAGTAATTGCTCCTCGAGCTGGCCGTGTCTTGCGCTGTGCAGACATGTGCTTTGGCGGAAACTCTGGTGGTCAGGACCAGTCACACGCGCCATAAGTCGTGAATACGAAACCCCAGACAACTGTACACATGCAGCATTTATGTAGCGAATCGTCCGACATGCCTGTCCTAAGACCTGACGGTCATGGCGTCTAACCTCGGTCCACACCGTGCGGATCCAGGAAAGCGCCCTCACCTGCGCCTGGGCCACGACTTGATTGAGCCGGTACCCTTGGCCCAGCAGCGGTAGGGCTGAAACCACCTTCGAGAGAGCATCTGGCGAGCAGCTTGGCAATTTCTCCCGACACGCCAATACTAACTCGTCCAACCACCTGGTACATGTGAAAACAGAACCGGGGCCCCATCATGTCTACGAAACGCGAAGGAACATGGCAGCCACACCGAAGAAGTACACCATGGGAACTCATTAGGATGACGGGAGATACTTATACGCGGGGATTGAGGGCATGCTACATGGTAAGGATATGCACCGTGCCATTTACTTGCACAGCGTCGCATTCCCACTATGACACAGGAACACACTCAGCCTCATGCTGTGTTATTATCGCACGTCTGGCAGCGCTGGGTCATGTATGTGCCACATTTACAAGCAAACCCCCGCCGAGATGCCCAGCTTCACAGCGGTGACCCCCCTTTGCGCAGGCCCACCTATCGGATGGCGGCTTATATTGCCACAGCGCAAGACTCATCGCGCAGTTGGCCAACTCGTCACCAGTGAGCTTTTGCCACGCCCTTGCCAAACTGGCCGCCAACAGCTGAAGCCCGTCTTGAGAGGGCCGTGCGCGCAGGTAGGCCAGAGAGTATGAGATAGTGGCAAGGTCGGATGGCAGGCAGTACCTGAGCCGCGGAAGATGGGTAATGGAAACTTGGTAAAGCGTCTGATGCACGACAAAGACAATGACGATGGCAGTGTTATGTGCGGGTTGGAAAATATTAACCACACCCCACTGCTTGGCTTTCCAAGAGGTTATGCCCGAGAGGAAATTGCCAGGACCGTGTGTTGTCATGAACCGGAACCGCAGTGTGAAATACAGCAACACGTAATTTGGATTACTTAAAAATGGAGTGATGCACAAAGAAGCCTCAGGAAAGCATTAATCCAAGAGTGGTAAATGTGTGCGGCACCCCCCCCCATTTCCTCAATGTCGTTCCAGTAACGCCATCAACGGGATCAGAGATATCAACACTCAATCGACACCACGACCAATAAATTAAATGCTTTTACCGTCGTTTGCTAATGTCCACTCAACCGAAAGGAGATTAGCAAACGACGGTGAAAGCATTCATTTTACTGGTCGTGGAATAATTGCAGAATCTACCGACCAAGAAATGAAGGATTACAAAACTAAAGGACTAAAGAGATATGGCAGAGAATTGCAAAGAACATATTCAGATGTGGAACCAGAAATGGACGCACGGAAATGAGGAAAAGCTACATGTAAAGGAGGGGATAAATAACAACGGGACACTAAGCAATAACCTTTTGTATGCACGTGGGCATACCATAAAAGAGGTTAAAGGCGAAGAATGAGTGCACATAAGGGGATGCGGACAGGCACACGGGAAGGCGCAAATTGGGGTTTTAGAAAAGATACCCGCCGACACAAACGAACCGTGAGCAGCCCGAGTACTGATCAATGGACGGACGGACGGAATTCAATGGTATAGGTGATCACTAGGATAGGGCGCCAATAGAAACTTAGGAATTTAGAGGAAAGAGGAAAGGAATGATGCGTGACAATTGGGGAACGAAGCGGCAAATAGGCTTAAGATGAGGCAGTCGTGGCATCGCACTCAGCAATGCAGGGCCCCTGAGTTGGCCGGGGACGCGGCCATCCTATGCGGCCTGTCGGGGGGCCCGACAGACCCATCCTCGCTCAAATTAGACCAGGCCCCCATTTATCGCCTCCCGAGATCTGCTCCATTCGTACCTAAGCTGCGCCACGAAACTCCGGGTTGCTCCCTCGAGCCACCACTCCGGTGGACGCCAATCGAACTGGGTCAACGCCCACGTGGTGCGCGTCAGGTCTGCTACACGCATAGACGACACGCTGGATCCGGAGCCTGACGCAGATGCGGAGCTGCCAGTCGCGGTGGCCTCGCCACTGTCTCTGCGGCTGCTGCTGCCCGACAGCAGCGGGCCCAGCCAGCTACCCGGATCGGGGCCACCCGTGTAACCCAATGAGGCGAGGCCAAACAGCGTATTGACAGCCTCCAGGTTGTTGAAGTCAGCAGCCTGAGGGAAGGCAGGAACCAGTCTGGGAAGTTAAACACCACTAACCACAGAGTCGTGCAATTATAGGTAAGTCGCGAAAGTCAGATGCTTGGGTAAACTGGCCTGAGCTCATACCAAGCATCAGGTTTCAGCTTTTCTCGTTCGACGGGAACCTTGCGACCGATTAAAGACTATTCTGCTTCATCTCCGCTAACAGTGGCCCAAGGTGTCTGCCCTACTTTCGCCCTCTCCATGGTGCGGGGCGGACCCCACCCAGCCTCATGGCCGTGCGCACACCTGCTTGGCCACCGACTCCGTAAAGGCTGCCAACCAGTTCGGACCCGGCGCGTGGCCCAGGCGGGACAGAGCCCCCACTGTGTTGGACAGCTCTACTGGCTTAAAGCCACCCAGCCTCTTCTCAGTCCTAGAAATGGACAAGTGCGGGGCCGCATTAACGTTGACAACAGAGGGGCGAGTTTGGGCGGTATGGACATGGCCACCGGACGAACAGCCAAAGCGAAGCTAGGTAAGAGACGTGTACCGGGTCCCTACCTGCCAGCAGCGGACAAGGACGAATCTCTGAGGAGGTAAGATACGGGATGGTGGATGGTCCCGAAATATGGAAGGAAAAGCTGGGATAAGACAAACTTTACTGCCAAAGTTGAATAAGTTCTAACTTAATCACACCTTCGCAGGGACGTTGTTATCAGCCCCGGCATGCAGCCCTACACCACACAAAAACTTGTCGCGTGCTGAGAGGGAAACCGACTTCTCAGTGGCCTGCCTGCAAGCCTTGAATAATGACAGAGAAGAAAGGCATACATCGCATAAAACTGCTCCAACAACTTACTCTCACCGACAACGCATCAAACATCCATTAACAGCCACAGCCTCCCAAGCTAGGCCACCTCCATCCTGTGCAAGTAACCCACCCAACATGGCCACCTACCAGAAAACAAATTGCTGCAGCCACTCGTCTCCCGGTGTGTAATTCATACGGGCAAACGCCCACACCATGTTGCTGTACTCCCAACTGTTGAAATTTCCCATAAACTGCGTGCCGGAAGTGAGTTGAAAGCACACATGGCAGCAAGATTAGCAGTTGCCCACGCGGGTACAGTGCGCAAGGGACAGCATGTGTCAACCTCCCCCAAAAGGCGGGAATATAGGGCATCCATAGCCTGCTTAGGGGGGTATGCCGTTGCACTCATCGCTCCATACGTCAAACAATCAGACGCACTAAGCGCCGGTGCCAACTCTGGCATCCTATGTACCTACAACCTGTGGAGGATGAAAAGATGGTCAACATCCAGTCGGTCTGGTCATAACGCTCAGGCCCGAATGTCTTGGTAACTGACTTCGTCATAGGCAGGGGATCCATCTGAAGCCGCAAGCGTATAAAATATAGTTATTGTCGCATTTCAGCAAATTCCTCAAGCAGCTTCCGTAAATATAAGTTCAGCTGAGCAATAATGTTGCGGCATGTTTAGCCTTGCTCTTGGCGCGCTAGACGGACAGGTGGCGCTGGACCCTTCTCGCGACGTCTATGAAGCAGAGCCATCTCAGCCGCCGCACCGCCACAGCAGCAGGTTGGCCGACCAATAATGAGTTCGCGTAGTGATTCGGAACTGGTTTGGGTAGGGGGTGCCACAACGCATCCACGTGTTCAGGAGGGGAACGGGCATCAGTGCATCCCGTTAACCCTTGGGTTTGACAGACAGGTGCCGACCCCTGCCAGTGCCAACTAGTAAAATAGCGACAATAACAAAAGAAGTGGCAAAATTTACCGGCTTGTCCATCGGTAATGATGGCATACCTGTATGGCATTGCTGTGGTGCATTTCGCGACTGTGCGGTTTCTATGCAGGGATTGATGGTGACTATGTTATAATTCAAGACCTTATATGCATTTATCGGCAGACTGAGAAAGGGTAGAGGCCATTGTATGCGGTCAAAGCCCCGAGAAGCCGCTTCCCCAAGAAGGCCAAACGGCGACTAAGGGTAAACCTGCAACCCATATCACTCCCTCAATTAACCTGCTGCGAGCGCGCTGCAAGTGACGCAATAAGCTCGGCATTGAACAACTCCAGGCGTGCAATGGCATACAGGCAGGTGGCCAACTGCTTAGGTCGCAAAACCGGGCACAGCGCGGAGACCCAGCCGTAAAGCGACGCCACGAGTGTCTCAAACTCAGCAGCATCCATGGGGGCGGATGGCCGACCCTCACGGGCCACCTGCGCAAAATGATGAGCGCGTGAAAGGGCGAGTCAAGGGAGTAAGCGGCACCCCTACTCACAAACCATGGCATGTATAGCAAATGCGCCTACGCATCATGGAAAGGCCCAAAATAGGACGTACATGGGTTTTATACGGTTTTATACGGCCTCATCTCCAAAAGCATGCAATTCCCTACAAATTTCAGGAATGAGGAAGCTTGCAGATCCAAGCCTGGATGATAATTAGCGGCTAATGACTGCCTTATCAGGAACACTTAACTTGGATTAGCTTTAAATGTCAGCCGGGAGAAGCACCACACCGGGTATGGTAGCAAAGATGAACTTCGCGACCTTCAATGTTGGGGGAAATTTGCGTGCATCCAAACTTTACCCAGGTGCATCGGCCTGACGGTCCTTTCAGCTCACTTTAAGCAACATAGTTGCGATGTTTTCTGCATCGAGGCTGCTGCCCCGGGACTCTAGGAGTGCCGCGACGCCTCGCCAGCCGGCCACGGCGCGAATAGCGTCATTGTTTGCCTGCCGAGCAGCTAGCGCGTCGGGGCTGAGTGCTTCACGGGGTCCTGCGCTGCCCGGGAAGGCGGAGGAGCACCTTAGTAATGTGCATGGGGACCACGCTTAAGAAAAGCTATGCAAAAGAATAGCAAGTTCGAGGGGCATGTCGTTAGGAAGCAAGAGAGTCGAATTAGTATGGCTTGAAATAATCATAAAGCCTGGTATTAAAAGTTCAAATCTATGCACCGTCCACTTCATATCATCTGCCCTCCTTTTTCATATCCGGCCTAGAGGGCTTACCGCGAAAAGTATGGCGCGCATCGCCTGCTTTTGTCCCGGTAATATTTTCAGCAGCCTCATTGGCAAAGCTGCTCCGGCCCCGGCCATCACCGGCACGCCGAGGTCCTCCAGATCCCTTGAAGCCGTCACGGCGCTCATGCCGTTGTCCTCCTTGCAGGTTGGGCGCAAGTGGCCCCTCACCGGGCTGCTGCTGCTCCCCTTGATCGTATCCATCAGTGGGCCCGCTCGGCCGGCGCTCACCACCGCGAGATCCACGCATGTACCCTCTGCATGTCATGGGATAATGTGAAACATCCGGGGGCGTGGGATGCAGAAACTGCTCACCAGTACGGCCAAGCCTTTGGTTGTTTTCCGTCCCTTTGCCCTGAGAACTCTTTCCGGGACCCCAAGCGTGGGTAGACAAATCGATGCACACCACCCGCGCCACCCTTTAAATAATAGGCACCGGAGTTCCACAGTAAGCAGCTACCCATTAATCCACGCCCGGGCCAGCTGCGATCACCCTTCCAATGGTGCACATGTGAAAGTGTCATCAAAGCTATTGCCCGCCTACGCACCTGCCACCAGCGCCGCCGCCTCGCGGCACGTAGCCACCTCCACGCCCGTAGGCAGCACTCCGTTCCTGCCTTGACGAATAGCCGTAGTCGTTACCATTGATAGTCGCCACCTCCGCACTGCTCGTTTCTCCATATCTAAGCCAGCTAGCTTGCCTCCTCTCGCCATTATCCCTGCTTAGGTGAGGGGCACCGCTCTTTATCATGAAATTTGTCATGCTAGCCACAAGGACAGTGAGGTAACTTAGCCCACAAGTGCTAACTCCCCCATAACTTACCGACTGCCAACGCCCCCCTGCTGTTCTCCAATCCCCTGCCGAGAAAGCAGATCTCTTCCAGGCTGCCCAACGCCGTCGTAGTCCTGTTCACGACAAGGTAGGGTCCTTACGCATATACCTTCTTACAAATTAGTGAGGATGGGGCAACACAAATCCACGTTTGATTGTAATTTTGTTGCAAGACGTCACACTTACATAATAAAAAGCACGCGTGCGGGCGTCCTGCGCTGCGCCTTTCGTCGCGTGGCTCCTCCTTGAGGCTAAGAATGTCAGCTGGAAAAGAGCTAGTTTTAGAGTCTGCAAACAAAAGTGTGTGGCAAGCCGCACACAAGACTTTAGCCACACCATCCTGGCACCCGTACCTTTGAAACAGGGTCCCGGACAGTTTCAGTCCTTGCGGCGTATCGATAGCATCCAAAGCTTCCGAATGTACAAGGGGGCATGCCAAATAGGAAAAACAGGGTCTCAGCAAGCGACGAGCCGCCAGTCGCCTTTCGCTTAACGATAATATTCAGCTTACCGTATATACGGCATTGTTAATGATGCCGTCTGTAGTACCAAGCAGGTCAGGCCCCAAGGGCTTGGGCTAACCTTTTGGGTTCACGCACGACAGGATGGAAGAGCAAATGAACCAAATGGTGATAAACAATATCTTACTCCAAACACGTTAACTTGCAAAGGTAATTGTAACAGGAAGTCAAGATTTGCATTTGTCATGGCCCGTACGAATCTGCGCTTGTTCGTCTAGTCGCATTTGCGCCCTTTTTGACTGGGCCAGAAGATACACAAAAGATACAGAATAGCCACATAGGATATGAGACGCACGAGATACACAACGGATACAAATCAAGGTTTATATATTACAAAAAACAAATTGCCGTTCGCAGTATCAGTATCTCTCTCTTGTGTGTCGGGTCTCGGTGTATGCGTATCAGATACAAGAGAGATTCTCTCTCTTGTGTACCTGTACCTCAAGCCCTTTTATCTCTCAATTTCTTTTTATTTTTCAGTTTGCCGTGCTTGTCATGCAGCTTATATAATTGCTCAATGTGTATCTGTATCTATCTCCGTAACTCTCTCGTTGTATCTATCTGTGTCCCTCTCTGTATCTATCCGTAGACATGTTGCTGTCTACCGTATGTCTTGTTCCTGTGTCATGTCATTACCGAACCAACGCATATCTATTTAGGGATGTAGCCCAGCCACGCGCCTAAGTTGTTCATGGGCCAGGCATTCTATTAGCACATGAGCTTCACATTTTACTTACCTCACACAGCAAACTCCGCCAGTTCGGCACGGGGTTTGCTTCCGGGCTGGCGTTAAGGGGGTCGATACGAGGACGGAAACCGAGAAAATTAATGACGCTCAGCACGGGAATTACATCTGCACAAAAATTCCCATAATCATTCAGTATCCACCTTACAGGCGTTGCCTCTCTATGATGCGTGGCATCCTTAATAAGGCTCGATCTTTTGCTTACCATAAGGAGTTGAGGCCCGCTTGAATATAGGCAGTGGACGATCAAACGTTGCACACAATTATGCTTTGGATTTGCCATCTGGCTGCTATGTACCCGTGCCCGTCCGAAGATGATGCATGGAGTGCGTATTCACGGCGAGCGCCTAAGCTGGAGAGCCTAAACACGGTTTGGCCATTTCAACCATGTTGTCAGAGCGGGGCCCCCTCATCCGTGAGCACCCTTCCGCCTCATTTCCAGCTCTAACGCAGGCAACATCCGTCCACTTCACGTAGCTGTTGGCTGGCTCAAATCCAAACAGCGCAATAAGCTTTGTTACATGGTCCTCTGCATGACTGCGTCCAATGCAGTGTCCAAGACGGTCCAAGCTTTAAGGCTCATCCCTCAGCAGCTCTACTTTCCTCGCCTGCTTAATTTTCCACCTAATATGATTGCAATCTTTTTTTAATAATTGCACTCTTCTTGAATAATTGCACTCTGGAACTAAAGCATCCCCTGTGATTACATAGGTCATAGGCACCGAAGAAACATCCCAGATGATTACACTTCCCAACAAGTTAGGAACAGCGAACAAAGCCTGCCTTGTAAATACCCTATCAGCAAAATTTCCAGCGCTGCCCGCAGTTGGTACACGTGACGAACGTTGTCATGGGCTGCGCGCGACAAGATGCGGAAGATGTAAGGCATTAGGAAAAGCCCGCCAAGTGGTCCAGCCCAAAAGGGAAAGTGATGAATATCCTTGCGCTCGTACTACAAGGTCTCCCTAGCGCTGGCTAGGAGGGTTTTGGACTGGTGGTGTCGACTATGGCCGGCCAATATGAAACGTCAGTGCAGTATAGGTTGGCTGGAGTTGATATGCCTTTGTTATGAACAAGACACGGCTACTGCAGCTGCCGCAACCACTTATAACCAGTTCTCAATATGCGGAACATATTAAATTTGCGGTCACCTAGGGATCGCGACGTGCAAAATGTACGTGCAGGCCCATGCCGCCCCATCCATACCTCATCCGCCGACCGCGTTTGCATTTGCTGTAGGGAAGAGAAAGGCCATAAGCAATAGCCAATGGCATGGTGAGGACATAGGGTTTTTAGGGTTTTTAGGGTTTTATATGACATATTTACAAATATACATGATGAGAATGCGTTGTTCTGCAGCCAAAGGGGCAGAGTGCCGTACTTTAACTATCATATTACATTGCATATTTTGAAGCTTGGACACATGTGTAGTGAAAATTGATGCCTCATGTGTCGGCGGGTGCGTGATGACCGCTGCGTCGTCAACTGCGGTCCTGGGATCCATCAGGATGGAAGCTGTGTGGGAAGCCCTGGTTACGTTGCAACGCTGCTGCAGTGCCCCCGCAAGCCTGTACTTGTACAATTCATACCGCCAGACAGGCCTTGCCCTTGGTGGCGCAACTAAGTAAACCCCATCTCCCAACGTAAGCACTTACATAATACGTGCACTTGCGCTGCTTGCAACGGCCGCACCTGCGAGAAAGTGGATATAAACGTGGTAGGACCGGTGAGCGCTAGCTCGATAATTTGAGGAACAGGACAGCCCAACCCGTCTCTTGTCCCTATGCATAGCAGTACGACTACCTTAACGCAACATAAGGACTACCACGCTTGCACACTGTCCTGAATAAAAAGCATTGGCTAGAAGCCGCGCTCCCTTTGGCCCCCATGGGTTTGCGACGAATGCACCTTCCTAACGGCCCATGCCTCTTGGAGGCAAAACAATGATAGAAACGGTGGAACGCACTCCAAGGCGTGAGAAGCGTCAAGTCCATCTCAAACCCAACCCAACCCACTGGAACATGTCTGTGGTAGCCGCGTTGTTGACGCCGCGTGTCGCTTCCTTAGCCAACCATTCCTTCATCTCCCGGTTTTTGCGCTTCTGCTCGTCGCTGGCGAGCTCCTCTGCGCTCATGCGCACTAACGACTCTGGTGGTATGCTGCCGGAGAGGACCCGCTCCCTCAGGTCGGGATTTTTGGCGTCCTTCAAGTTGAAGCACAAGGACCGCGCCTTTGCTTTATACTCTCCACTCACCGACGACCCACTACCAGCCAACAATTCGTGTAGTGCATCCTCTATAACAGCTGCGAGAAGGTTGGGCGACTGCAGCGAAGATGGGCCAGTGGCACCTGTGTCTCCTTCACCTGACCCACCGCCACCTGAATTGAAACCTACGGCCAGAGCCTCAGCGAGCATGACCCGGACCTTATCCCGGGTGTCATTGCCACATCGTGGAGGGTCCACAATAAAGGATGCGCACGTCTGCCGGTGGTGGGGCTGGGAGGATGCCATTACGGGACGCTGCCCGGCTCCAACACCGCTAGTCATGGCGGAGGCCTTGCCCGTCAGCGCCAGGGGGGCGCGCAACCCAGGTTGGGAGGTAGACGCAGGGGCCTCACGCTGCGCGACAGCATCGGGCGTTTCTGCTTCACCACCATCATTTTGCTGCTGCTCTTGCTTGACGCATTGCTTCCACGCCTCCACGGCGGCCTTGGCTGCCTGAGCGACCGACACGCAGCTGTGCTTGCAGAACTTGTTCAAGCGCTTTCCCGCATTGGTGCGCTTTAGCAGCTCTGCTGTTACCAATCCTTTCTGCAATTGCTTAAGGACATCTAGCATTCGTGATTCGTCAGCACGGTCGCCATCGGCGGCTCCTCTCCCGCATGACTCGAGCGTCTTAAGGCAAGTGTTGAGATCTGCCTCTGACAATGTCCCCATACGAGAGCAGTATTACTGGTAATCAAGTAGGCGAACACTGGGACTGGTGGCCCTGCTACGGTGCGGTGTGACAAACTCCTCGGGTTGGTATGCTTAATTCCCTGAAGCCAGGAACGAAAATGTTCTGATGCTCAACAACATCACTACGTTTGTCGTGCTCCCAACACAAACAAGGTAAGTTTGTAAGCCCCATCCACAAACTCACCCTGCGAAAGGAAGCACAGTCTTATGACACAAAACCCAGGGATTCAGAAAATCTCACTACTCAAGTTATGAAACAGTACGTCGGTAACGTTGCACGGAAAACTACACTGCGCATTCACATGCAGTTGCATCTGCACGATTTAGTAACCTGTACTAGCGGCGTGGGAGAACGTAACATAGTTCCTATCAATCCATATTGACTTCAGCACATTGGTTCTCAAATGCCGTCTTGCTTAGGGATCTGGTTTCCGTTTTGGCGTTGGGTGGACAGCGGTCTTCGGTGCGTCTATTCACCAAGTTCAGTGGCACGTTCCATCCACTTTCAGTCCATCAAATCGTTACATGTAAAGGCCACGTTACATCCTGGCTCCGCCTTGGACTTGCAGTTCGTATGGCGTAGTACAGTGTGGTAATGGTGGATGGTGCTGTTGGATGTTAGATAATGTCCAATCCTAGATATGACGGTCCAAATGTGTTCAATGGGCCCAGAAGCCCACTCTATAATCACCACCATCATGGTTAGGTTAAGCCATACAATGTTCACGACCAGGGCTTCTCTCCTTGCAGCGCATGGCCACTGCTGATAACCCGCAGGCGATCCCGACACGTTTTCAACGGAGTCACCGTGCCGTGTGCAATTAGCTGAAGTCAAGTGCGGCAGCCCAGCGAAAAATGCATGTACGAATTAAAAGCTTAATTAGGAGAGGTTGATAGGGGTATATAGGTTGTTCGGTCATGGATTGGGCCAATGCCACCTGCCCGGCCGTAGGTTGGGCCCAACGATGACGACTATGCGGTTCTGTTGACTATGGGGTTCTGTTTCTGAAGAACCTAACTCATTGACCCTTAACCTTCAACAGCTATGCAAGGAACAGCAATCCTGCCGAACTGAACTTCCGTCCTGTTGCAGACTTACCCTAATTAAAATGCTCGCCTCAACGCATGACCAGTACACATGCCGCCTATTGCGTGAACAGGCCCTGTTACCGGCAAAGCATTGACGCAGCCAGGCCAAGCTCATTCACGCATCGCTACCCCAGCAATACCCCTCCACGCCAAGACGTCAAGACACTCTTCTCTTGTTCGGTCTCGTACGACTAGCTATACACAATGTCCTGGTGTCATGCCGGCATTGTGGCCCTGTTTGCGCCAGTCCCGAGCGCTTCCGCTACCTAAACTTGATGGACACAAGGGGGACGTCCAGGTCCTCTCCGGCGTCGTCCTCGCAGGCAACCACGACGTCGAAATGATCCCGATTCCTGGGCAACTCCATCTGCCGGGCAGATAGGACAATTATACAGACGGCAGGGAGTTGTACCTGGCCTTGTCAAGAGGTCCTAGTCGAAGGCTATCCTGCTGCTCACGTGCACAACAATGTCCCAGTGCCCATGTGCACCATAAACAAACACATGTTGCGTGTGGCACGTATCATACGTCAGACGCCGTGTGTCACTCCATCGTGTACATATGCACATCGTACCGCTGTCATATACAGAACCGCACGGATTCAAATTCATATTAAGTCAGGCACGACTCCCCAGATACTTTACCTTCGCAACCGTGACAACCAGCTCGCTCATTTTCTTGCTTAGCCGCTCGGCGTGCTTCGGAAAGATGTTGTTATACAGCAATGCCGGGCCGCAACTGATAGAGTAAGCACTCAGACCCCTGTCGTTGAACCAGTCCAAGACCTGAGACCAAAATGCAAGATAGCACTCGGGACGTCAAGGACGCCGTCACAAACGTAGACGGCTTTATGCCCAGCAGCATGGATGCCCCCCATGACCAACCAATTTACAGTTGTTCGACCGACATTACAGCATGTTACCTGTTGCACTGTGAGATCACCCTCCAACGTCCACCGGTCCCAGAGGCTCCACGTCAAGTCGTTATGCTTAGTGACCTTGGGAGGAATAGGCTCCGCCATGGCAAAAAGTGGCAGCGCTAAGTTAGCAAAAGTATTGCGGTACGCCTCAAGTGCCTTCCCCGGCAGGATAGCCTTGTACAGCTCCAGACACACCAGGCCTGAAGGTTTTGAGATCCAGAAGTTCATAGGGCCGTCTCAAAGTTGGACGTCAACTTCGTCCCGGTGCGCGGGTGTAGGAAAGGTTGCGAAGGTGCAGGGGAGGTTGCGCCTTGTTTAGTGAGGGGCAAAGCTTTATTTATTCAGTATACCATTTTAGTACAGCGAAGGTGCGGGGGAGGTTGCGAGGGTGCAGGGAATGGAAACGGGGGTACGCACCTGTAGCGACTGCCGTGGCGGTTGCAATTGCAGGGATAATCCTGCCCGCGATGAGCTTGGCCTTGAGCTTGTCCACCTCGGGAATCGAATAGTTGCGGGCACGCATATTGGCAAGGCCGGCAATAAGGTCCATGTGGTAGTTCGTGTCGTCATCCTTCTCAAACTGTGTAATGCCAAAAGAGAAGTCCAGAGGGTAAACAGGGACTAAAGTCCGGCCGATCACGAGGCACCTGATACCCCTGATAACGTGTGTCGAAATGCATACCCCACCTGAATCGGCCCGAGCTTGAGCGCAGATCCCAGCTGCTGGGCAACCTCCTCCAATCTGGTGAGGAGTGAATCGATAATCGCCTCGTCGTCATGGGCTGCGGCAGCACCGGGAACGAAGGTTATCCATCGGCCTTGCCAGGACCGCAGTGGAAAGACGGCTTATATAGAACCTTCCTTTCAACGCATAAGCAGCATTCATCTTACTGCGTTCAGTCTGCACTGGCTTTGAGCGATCCGCCTTCGGGTCAGTCTCAATCTGGATCCCCGCCCGGGGTGCGAAAGCGGGCACGTCCACTCCCGCTGCCACAGCAGCCACCTTGCTTGCATCCACGGCCCAGTCTGGACGGGATATGTTGTAAACCTCAGCGCGCAGGATGGCGCCAGCCTGGGGCAAGGCTCGTCATTACATGGACAAAATAAATGTGAAATGCACATGGTCGCTGACATTCGTTTCGGAAGCTTGAGGTTGTATCAATCTGACGACGGCGATACCAAGTAAATCTGCATGCATGAGCCTGGATAAATCGTCGCGAATTTGCCCCACACCTATCTAAGTCACCTGCCAAACGCCTACTGCTGCGCAGAATGACACGTCTACGCTCCTAGTTGCCAAGCCATGGAAAGCGTATTGCGTTATGACCAGAGAACTGGCGCAGGACAGCATGAGCCGATCCTTAGACGTTCCAAGAGGTCCATGATCGGCAGGATGATGCTAACAACCTAGGCCGCGCGCCTAGAAGCAGCACAAAATATACCTTGCACAATGCACCCCTGACAGATAAACACCATCGGCCCTACTTGCGTACCCTGTTCTGTTATCCTACCTGAACAAACGCCGCGTGCGCTGGGTCGGCAGGGTTAAAGTTGAGCGGTCGTGGAAAGCGCTTAGGAGCTGACCAAAATGGGGCACCAGTAGAAGTTGTAGCGTCCTCAGGGAAAGTGTAGGTCAGCTGAGCTATGCGGTTGTGGAAGTAATCCTGGTATTTCACATGTCGACAGGATAAGAAAACATATATTTGCATGTGCCAAGGGTGAGATGCCCAGAGGGTGTCAAGTAGCACCAGTGCAGGTCAACTCGGCCTAGCGGCGGTCTTTGGAGCTGACATGCAAGGGGTATGTAGAAACTGTGGGGCGATTTTGCTGTAGTAACGCAGCTCACCAAACCAACTGTTCCGTTTGCGGGGCGCCAAACTTCAGGTCTGTTTCTATCATTTGCCTTGGTCATGAATTATCATCCTTAAGAACCAGGTCAGCGCCTAATCCAGTCAAATTCCACCGACCTGGAATCGCAACCTCGCCCACGCGATGCACTGCTCGAAGGTCGCGGACCTATTGTCCAGCAGGACTTCGGCTACAGCCTCGAGTTGCTGGCGGGCAGAGGCGTCCGGATTGGCCCGCACAGCCTTGGCGTATTCGGCTGGGTTGGCCAGGAAGGAGGCGGCCTCGCGGGGCCCCTTCTCCAGCATCCCCTCAAACTCTACAATGTTGAGACACAATAATTGTGTAAACGGCGACGTCGTGCATATGATCTCATGCAAGTGTCAATGGCATGTGCACACACTGGCCCTTCCTAGCCTGTAAAATGAACATATTTTCTCATGGTGTAAGGTGTATCGCCACGCGCGACAGCATACATGAAGAGTCATGGCCACGGCCGGAGATTTTCGTTATTCCAACATTGCACCACACTATTGACCATGGCGAATGGACGATTATTATGTCGCCTTAATTTCAGTGGCCCGCCACGAGGGCGCTGGGTTAGCCAGTATTGGGAGCAAGGTGTTGGTGTTGAGGGCGAACTTGGGAGTGACGCTGTGCGGCATAAAATAAAAAGAGCGCGGCCACGAAAGCGGAAGCCAACAGCAAAGCAGTGTTAAATTTTTTTCTCCCGATCAACATCGAGCCATATGTTAATCTTAATTGCACTGTCTGCTGTACTCCCTCGGGTCAACCTTGCACCGAATCAGTTCGTCAGCAACCTAGTTCCCTCGCTCCTACTCACCTGAACGGGCCCAGGTCAGGCAGTGGTCAATGTTGTGGGGGAATGAGTGGACAGTGCACATGGGCGCTTGTTTCTCTGGCGGGTCGCGCGATGCACCATAATTCTCCGTCAGCCGGGGGATAACCTGGAAAATTAAGGCAGCGAGGAAAATTGAGAAGCCAGGCATCTCAAACCCTCGCCCTTAATCATGTATATGTCCACATTTGATGCTTCTTAACTAGAAATAGCCACAGGAGAGCCCAAGGACGTACAGTCATTCACCTTATGACCGGTCTCCCAAAATCCTCGTTGTGTTCCAGTGCCAACCAATTTGCCCATAAGACTACCGGTGCTAGTAAGACCGGCGCAACCTGCCGCTCGGTCCTTCCTGTTCTGCCCTACCATCTGTGTGTTGCACTTGGGCCCCAGCGTCCCGCTCTCGAGCAACGGCTTGCAGAAGTACACGCAACGACTGTCCACGTACAAACGTGCGTTTACGTTATCCAGCGCGTTGACCACAAGGTCCAAGCCCTGTCCAAATGTCCGTGCGGCAACGAATCAGTCAGCTACGCAATACCGGCTAAGTGCCACGAAAGCTAAGCGATAGCGCATTTTAACCACGGCGTAGCCAACGCGCTCTGTGCTAGAGTTGTACTGTCGTACCAACAAAAGCCCAGGGACCGCACTCCTCAACGCTGAATAAAGACTTAAAGTTATACAAGGCCGCCTCACTTTCCGCAATCATGGCAGTCGTAATCAACTCGCAACGCACCTGCCAGAATTTGTCGTCGAAGACGTTTTCGGTTTCAGGCGACACCCTGTTCTGGAGCGGAACCACTTGGAAAGCAGGATTGAGCTTTTGTGCTGCAGCGGCTGCAACGGTTGACTTGGCGCTGCAGTATAAGAGATACGTCAAGACGCAGAAGGATGAGGAACAATGATGAACCGGGTGCTCGCATATGGAACAGTACAGGAGAGATTTGAACTCGACATGCAAAACCCACCACACCATATGAATGGAAGGAGTGCACGGGAGAGATCTTCAGGAGTGGCCAACTCCATGAGCCAAATAATCCAAAGACGTCGGCTAACAGCTCGTGCACGTGACCACATGTCTTAGCTGCAGGACCTGAGTAAACCCTGTCGTACGTCCCAGCCCGTCTTCCCATGATTTCCCTGTTTCCACCAACCTTCCAATGTCCCAGTCTCGGAACAAAAACTGGCGACTGAGGTTAGACTTCTCAATGACATCATCGTCCGTCACGGTCACAATGCCGGGCTGCGGGGCCCCTTGCAGCTGACAGGCCACTCCCATGCAGGCGAAATTCTTCAGGAACTCGCAGCCCAGTGCGCCAGCGCCAACCTGGTATGTGTGCTTTATGTAAGAACGGTGTCGCAAACTAATAACAACATTCATATAACACTAGTCGCCAGCTCTCTGCGTTCGCCAAGTCAAGGCAGAAAAAGCCGGGCTGCAGGACGCCCGACGCACCAGGAAAAGCTTCAAACTCGAGAGCCGGCGCTGCATCGTCCGGCCGAACACCGCAATCTGTGGATCATACCTGAATTCAGCAGATGCAACGGCATACGAAACAGTAAGCAGCGCATGAAAGACTTGGTCCAAAATTATGGGCGACATCCTGAAAACAAGCAAAACAAAAACGAGTCCTTCGCGATCTGTTTGAAGTCGCCATAAAATGCCTTCGCTCTATGCAAGCAACGGAAGTGCACATCGCCCTCACAGCCGATTGGTTTCCTGTGCCACGTCGCAAGAGAACACAGAACAACACGGCCATGCACAAATATGCAGTCTGTCCCTCCCGTTTCGTGCTCATGCGTCCTTGCAGCCCCACCGTGTGCCTAACGGCTTATACTCGTCCGCGCCGGCTCCTCCTGCTGCTGTCAGCTGCTCTTGGTCTGGAAGAGATTCAATGGAATCAAAGTACAGCCATTGGAAAATCGGATGAAACTTGCCGCTCACGGCCTTGACGACCTCCTGGCCCACTATACCGCCTGCAGAACGCAGAGGACAGGGATGGAGGGGTATCACGTTCAGTAACATACCATTCGTCTGTTGACTCGACACGCAGCTGTACAAATCTGACGTTAATAGCCTACTTGTTCGCGCTCAGGGTAAATGTGCATTGCGCAAACGCAGCCGAACGATGATACTTTACGCAAACCATCAGGTACTCCTGTCTTTTCGTATCTCTCTATACTACTGCCAGCAGTATATTTTCAATACAATCCTGAAGGACCAGGAGAGTACAACAAAACATGGTCCCGACCCCCATATCTCGGGAACGTTCCGAATGCTCAACGATGTCAACCCCGCTTTCCCTACCAAACATTGCAGCCATAGGATTGATTTCCGCTGAGGCGCAATGTGCCAGCTTTGTTACCACGCCACCGTCAACAGCCTCTAGCTTTGCGCTACCAGCAGGCAAAGCTGAATTAATTTGCTCAGCCAATGAATGCAGCTTTGACGCATCTGCCGCGTCGGCAGGCCGAGGAGCCCGCCCTGTCTCAGCCTGGGAAAAGGGTCGGAAGGGAAGATACACCAACTTAGCTTTTGCGTCGAGTGTTTACAGAAGCCATTCCCATACCGCAATCTATGCCTTTCTTCCGGTTAACTGTTGTCCAGTTAGCCAGGGCATACACATCACCAGCCACATACCGCGAAACCCTCATCCGGCGCATCCCTGCGCTGCCCCAGGCCCTACACCTACATACCTCAAACTGGTCCAGTGCTTGGAAGCCCACATGCAGCTGCGCCGCCCGGTCCAGTTTGGAGAAATCCGTCAGCAGGAAATCACCCGGATTCAGGAGCGCCTGGGGGAGGTAAAACTGGGGTTTCACGACAAACACTATGGACATCGATAATCGCTCAACCTAACCGTACCTCGTCCAGCGTTTTAAATGCCAGGGTCTTGGGTTCCTTAACCTGTACCACAATGCCACCACGCACGTACTCTCCCCAACTACTTGTGTCGAGGTCGAGCTCAAAAGAGTGCGCCTGCAGCGCATAGTGATCATTGAAAACAGACACGTTAGGTTTAACGAGTCGACACGGCTCGGCAAGCTTAGCACGGACCATGCTCATCGTTGATTCCACATTGAAAGAGAGCACCTACATACATCTTTCTACTATCGCATGCTACATTGTTACAGAGCGCTTCCGAATTACACCTTACCCTGCAGTTCTTGACCTTAAATGGTCCATGCGTATTGAGCTTTTCCATGCCCACCACCTCGCTGAACGACACAAGCTCACCGTCCTGTGGAAAAGGAAACGGCCATACAGCTCATGTTGGATGAACGCCAAGTCGTCCAAAGAAAAACGTGACATAAAGCTAGGTCAGGATGCCTGCTGAAGCACATGTACACCCGTAAATGTACATATGCGGCTGCACTTGTCGTTGTGGACTGAGCGACCTCCAGTGCAGACGATACGTACGAAAGTTGAAAACGCCTCCCCAACGGAAATTTTCAATAGATTTTAAGCCACACGGAAGCACTGTTTCGCTAAACATCAAATTCTCTTGGCAATAAAGCAACAAATCCCGCCCAGGTGGTTAACAATCCGTTGGTTCGAACTAAGCAGTCCGACGCAGAGGTCGCTCAAAACCCCTTAGACTCGCAGTCTGGTATGTAAACACTGCGCGTCACACCAAACCAGGTCCATCCATTTATTGACCACTCATTCCCTGGCGCATCATGATCACAAACCTGAAACTCTAGCCGCTCGTCCTCCACGCAAGTTACAATTGCGGGAGAGCCGCTGCTCACAGAGGCCACAATGCCAGAATGCGGTTCCTCACCTGTTGAAGCACACGTAGGCAAAGGAGATCAGTGGGACGCATTATGGCCATGATGAGGCCTATTAGGCTAGAACGCGAGACATTCATGAAACGGACAGCCCCTCACCGTTAACGTCGTACACAGTAAAGGAGGGGCCAAAGTCCGTGAAGACACGTGCGAACACACCACGGGTCTCCGCCCAAATAAAGGCAATACCGGCGGAGTGGCAAATCGCGTCTAGACGCTTCGCCTCTCTTAAAGTAGCAGTTGTGCAAACCACCACCTACGGTGCATCAGGGCCAAGGCCTGTTGGGGTAAGCGGGATCGCGATAAACTGGTAGCCAAAGGCAGCCATGGGGGGCAAACTGCAATTTGCACATGGCTCGATACAGGGCAAGGTGGCTTGGTCATGCATACTTCCGATGCTAACTGTACATCAACCGCATGCTGGATTTCCTATCCTAGTAACCAACCCGACCCAGTTGCCGGCATCCAGGACACGTTCCAGCTGCGTGGCAATGAAAATAGCTGCGACTTTCGCGCAATCCGTACATGGAATTTCTTGATGAACTCATTGGTTAGTGGGCCTGCTGCAGCATGCACTGCAACACTGGTGTTCAGCTCCTGAAGCTTGTCTCGGCACGCCTCCGCTCGGTTGCGACCAACATCCTGGGAGCCAAGGTGCCAATTCATGCAGTTGTGTGTGGTTGTTACAGTGGGCAGTTGTGATGTAGGAATATACGTGGGCAAGGGGTTAAGAACAGCGCGTCTTAGGTCTCACAGAGCAATAGCCCCGCTTCCAACCCTTTCTCAAAGCCAAGACATGTAATGGTATAGTTGCGGAGACGAAGCAGCCAAGTGAGTCTAGGCGTGGAGGGAAGTAAACAAGACGAAACCGACGATGGGTAGCAAGCGGTCCCGTCTCTGGCACGCCAGCACGTTTCAAAAATCACACCTGGTGTCCGCGGCACAGATGCATGCATAACCCTTGACTCGGCGAGCCAAACTGATCCTGTCGAACAAACGGTTGCACCCGCTAGTAATCCCAACACTTTGGTGGACTTGCGTTTAACTTCCATCAATTGCATAATTACATGTGCGACGCGCTGGTACGCACCTGCTCCGCTAGGTAAAACTGTGCGGAGAGATCCGTCATGGTGACGGTCACTGCGTCATGCACAGTAACACTCCGCACACCCGCAAGTATGACATTCTTGGCTGTCAGGATTGAGGAGAATGGCAGCATTAGGCCGGAGGACTCAACTCCCATTTGTGACAAGGTTGTAACAAACGCCAGGCAAAGAAGCGTTGCCCTGACAACATGCCAAGAGTACATTTACAAACCACGAGCGCCCAGCTCGTCACTTGCCAAAATAGATCCCAACCGGAAAACCTTACCTATCTCGACCCCCAGCCCATTTGCTCCGCTGATAAGTACAGATGAAGTAGCCAAGCGCTTCATGGCCTCACGGCCATAAACAGCGAGCTGGCGCGAATGGAGATTTTCATCAATTTCCACCTGTCCAACACCCCCGTCCGGAGCAACGCTCTTGCTCATAGTAGGTTTTTTTGCCGACGGGGTATCAAAGGAACTTTCGCCAGCGCGTTTTGACATGAAGCGCACAGGCGCGTTCCTGAACGCGTCGGGCCTCTCCCGACAGCTTTCCTGCCTTATACCTTGATTTAGGAAGTATGTAAGCGAACTAAGGTGAAGATTTACGTTTCCGAATGACTACGGATGCGAAAGCTCCGAGAACACTAAAGCAGGTACAACCAAGGACGTTGTACGGCCGTACAACTAAAGCTTGGAAGTTTCGCCAGTGCTTGACTCGAGGCATAGGCAAGCATCATTTACAGGTAAGGTAAGTATACTAGCTCTGACATGAGAAGCCTTGCAGGCAGGGAGACTTCTGTCTTAGAAAGTCCCATGGAGGACATCCCGCCGAGGTTGGCAGTCCTGCGGTGCGGCCGGCGTGACCCGCCATGTTTGCCGAATTCCCCCTCGTCACACTGCCACGTAAAACATTATCCCACAGAATTGCGGTGTTTCCCGTGTTTTGGGGGATGTTTGTTTGGCTCCGCAGCACCGTTGTCTGGTTGGCTGCAGCAGCTCCTGATCACTGCGGGTCCGCAAATGGCCATGCTACCCCGGACACCATATCTAGTGTCTCCGTGCTGGAATTCATGGAGATTTTCACCTATCCGGTTCTTTGGTCTCGCGCTTCGAAGGGGTCCTTGCTGTGCACCCCTGCTCTGTGATGCGGCCGACCCATGAGGAGGGTAGGATCCGGGCTGGAGTTGGGGAAAAGCTCTGTCGCAGAATTAGCCTGGATTTTATTCCTGACAAAAGAATTGGTCCGTCGGGGTCTTGAATTGTCCTGGCAGGCTCGCCGGAGGTATTCGAATTGCGCTGTGGAGCCCCGGAATTGGGCTGTACTGGACCTGAATTGGCCTGTCCGGGTGCCGAATTGGCCTGTCCGGGTGTCGAATTGGCCTGTCCGGGTGTCGAATTAGCGTGTTCAGGGTGTCGAATTGGCTGTCGAATTGGCAGGATTGGCTCAGGCTGGCATCCGGCAGCACATGGCTTTTAAGGAATTTACAGATAACTTTGCAAGGGGACCGCTTACAAGTGCCTCATGTGCGTATTGGTTTCGATCCCAGGACATGGAGCAGGAAAACTTGCACACCTGTTTACCGTACTCTGGCAATGTAGGGAGGCAAGCACTCAGGGCCACGACTGCATTACCCAGTCAAGTCAGTCGCCGAGGCCCCACTGTTTTCCTACCACACTTCATCGGCAGTTTGATTGCAGAGTCTGTGGACGCCAGCACATGGTTAACTCGTGTTGCTGTGGCCACCCAGCGCCATGCACGGTTCTGTATCCACAGTGTTGTGTTCAGGCGCGTGTTTACATTTCTTCGTCTGTTGAATAATTGGATGAATGAATGAATGAACGAATGAAAGGGGTTTTACGTTGTGGCGACTCGCCATGCCACTAGTTCGGGTCGGTTCGGGTGGTGGTATCTTTTCGTCGAACACACACACACACACACAATGAATGAATGAAATGAGAACCGAGGACGGTAACCAGGCGTGTAGGGTTCCTGCCACTTACAGAATCAAAACCAACACAGTAGTTACAGAGTCTCATAAAGTTTCATTAGTTCCTTCAACTACCGTGATTCTGGATGCCTGCCTGAGAGTTTCCGGGCCGACCCCGCAATTGGTCGAAATTGCTCGATACAAGGGTTGAAATTGGCACGGGGTCTAAACCTGGGACAAGTTAAATTGCCGGGACAGGCCCTTGAATTGGCCTGACAGGGACACGAATTGGCCTGGCAGGGACATTCCAACAGTCAGGATTAGCCTGACAGGGACACGAATTGGCCTGGCAGGGACATTCGGACTGTCAGAATTGGCCTGTTCGGGGCGTCTGTTCGGGGCGTCGAATTAGGGAAGCAAAGGAATTGTGCGACCGTGGCAGTCCAAAGAATTGCTCTCCCCGACCATGTATCCTACCCTCTAACCCATGCTATGTGTTAAGGCTCCTGGCCAGGTATGCAACGTATAGAATTCAACGTTCTGAATCCCGTAATGTATTTACGTTACCGAGGCTTGGGCCTCGACTGCGTCAGCCCTCTTTACATTTCCTGTCCCGGACCTATTACGCGCAAGCCCAATTAGACATATATTCCCCTCACGCCTCTTCGCAGACATTTACATACTCCGTATGGGAAGCCAAAGCCAAGTACTAATGGTGCAGCTTCGCTGGGAAAGAGGGGGACTTCCCGGTGATATGCAATTCCCCGGCAGCGGCTTTTTAGCTTTGCCTGCCTGTAAAAGTTGCCGCGTGACGAGCAGTCCGTGCATCCCTTATATATACCATACCGGTGAATGTCAACGAAAAAAACAAACACGTCGTGCATGCGAAAGCGTGGATTGCCACGCGTCGTCTCGCCTTGCCACGCCTGATTGCCACGGGCGGCCATACGGAGCTTCATATAACATTACAAATATACAAATACGGAGCTTCATATGCAGAAAACTGTTCCTGCTTCTAATGGGCCGCGGGAGGCAGGGTTGCTCTATTTAATCATTTGAATCAGCTATGGGCTGTGCAGTGCTGGATGAGCTTTACACAGAATAGCTTTAACTTCTCGAAGCGGAGTATGAGTGTAGAGATAGGCGAGTTAGGAACCGACGTGGTGCGAGGAAGCAGGGCGTGTGCACAGACCGTATTACGGCAGGGAACGCCAAGTTTCTACTTGGGCCGCGCAGGGGCAGTGGTCCCGTTGTTATGACTATTACCAAGAGGTGTGTCCCGCTGCTGGTGCAGTGTCCTCTACTCCAACCCTCCGTACCGCAACGGTCCCTGGTTTTGCCGCTGGCCTTGGGTGGGTCGCCCTGTGTGGCTCTCCGGCACACTTGTCGATGTTCTTTAGATCCTGGGGCTCATTGGCGGTGCAACTCAGGTAACTGTCATCACTATCGGGCACTAATGCAATGTTAGAAATGGGTTGGTGTTGGGAGGGGGTTTCGTGGCCAGGTTGACTGCAACCGGGCTGAGCCGGCTGGCGGTTTAGCTGCTGTAACGCAATACGGCAGGACTGAGCAATAACCCGTTCAGTAACCTAGATTATCCTCGCAGACGGCCGTCTTGGTACGTGCTGCTCTGCCCTTCTACCATGGATGCAGGATGGGCCACGTAATCGAGGGCTTTGTAAATACCTTCAAGCATGCACATAGTTTTAGCTATGACTCCATTCTTCTGGAACCTCAAGAATCCAGGCCTTCCCGCCGCCGTGGGTCATAGACTTGCAGCACTACTATGGTTGGATCAGGTGCACGGATATTGATGCTTTCACTCACAAACGCTTCTTTTTTGAAGCATGTTTCCCCAGACAAGGCGTCTGTCGTGGCTAACGACTGTAATCAACCCAACACGGATTCGTTCTTTGTCCGCAATACCAGAGCGTTCCAGCTCCTAGATGCGGTGTATGTCCGTATTAGTTAGAACACCTAGCTTCACCGCCACTACACCTGTTACGAGCAGAGCGTAATCATCCACATCTTTGATCACGACATTGAGGGTCTTACATTCATTCGTCAGACCTGTCTTGAACGCTTGATACCCTGATGGTCTCCGTGCACATCTAGGATGTGCATGGCGTATGTTGCGGTGCTTCTTGAAAGCGTCATCACTGTTACGCATTTAGCTGGTAAAGGGGAGGACCTCACGAAAGACCGGGATATAAGCAGAAGCAGGCTTCGGGGAGGTTCAGCAGGTCCCTAAATCTACAGAATCTGAAAAAGACATACTCTATACATATGGGTCCTTGGCCTCCCTAAAACCTCAAGGGAAGGAATGTGCGTCCTATATGGACGGTCGGTAGCGGTCTGCTTGCCTTTCCCTTCTTGATTGCTAAAAGTTCCATTCCTGAAAACAATGTTGCTCAAACTGCTTTCTAGCTATTCTCTTTATTAGATTTTTACTTTCGCCGTGGTAATAAAGAAAATATCATTAATAATATGAGGGTACTTTAAATGAATAAACCGAATCATAATATGTAATAATTCATAATAATTCACCATTATTAATTCACCATTATTAATTCACCATCAGCGCTTGGGCTTTTTGCGTATCCCTACGCCAGCTTGCTGTGCTATCAATGGACTGAGTATTTAAGCTACTAGGACGTCATCCAATCTTGTCTTATGATTCCTCAAGTCCTTATATGGATCAGAGGGTGAGAATTGCGGCGGCACCTATATTTTCCAATACTGATTGTTTTAGCCCTTCGCCGCAGTATTCTATTCCTTTAATTCATTTAAGGAATACTAAGGTGTCCTCAGTTGGCAGGCTTATGTTCTCTTGCCAAATGTGACCTTTGTTGTACGTCATCCATCGCCCTGTATCAAAACGTGCAAGTGGATCCGAAGTGGATCCAGGTCATCGCCCTGAATCCATCGCCCTGACGGCCGGGCGGGGTTATTATGGATCATACATTGCCCCCCGCGGGGGGCAATGTAACGACGCAAGGCCCATCTGAGCATCCCGGGTGAATAAAGTTCCTGGATTGAACAAGATGGCAAGCTGGAGATGAAATGGACGCGCATATGTCGCAGATGTCTGACATATATGGGCCATATGTCAGACATATGCGTTACATCTCACTCTTTCAGGGTATCGACATTGCCAAGGATGGACTGCTGGGTGATACAATGAAAGGAACGGCCAAGAAACCGTGATACGAAACGAAGTGAAAAAGTCCTGCAATAGACATATCCCTAAGGAGGTGCCTGCCGTACAACAAGATTGAGAAGACCTGCGATGCGGTAAAGTACTCAGGATATAACTCGGTGTATCGGTATCTGATAGATGCAGACCTCCGGTAATGTGTTGAATTTCAGTACAAAGCAGGAGCAGGCAGGAGACTGAATGTTCGACGCCCTTCCTTTTTGGCTGGACTAAGATCTGGGTCTTGAATTGAAGTCCACTGTTCTGGATCTGGCCAGGGCACGCCCTTCTCACGACGCGTCGTTGACTTGTTTTTTTGGAAGTGTCACTTCCAGCTTCTGTAATTGAAGACGACGAAGATAAGGTCGCTTCAAGGGGCTCTATGGGAATTAATTAAGATATTTTAGTTTATAGGCATAAAAAACCAAAACTAAGGAAGACTTTTAATTGGATAAACAACCAGGCGACAAATGATTAGTTCAGATGATTCAATTAATTTGTAAGCCTTTATTTTTGTGATACGCTTTTTGGGAAGGCTCGAAAAATCATAGCCGGAATTATGCTAATGATTTGCAATTCTGGTGACGAGTGCCGGACATAATTGCAGTTGTGACACATTTTGGCGCCGCTCCAGGAGGTCCCGAGCAGAAACCGCAGCATTGTACTGTGTTCATTCGTTCGTTGCTCTGAGAGAAAACTGCAGGAAACATACCGTAGTGACAGGAAATGTTCGTGTTTTTAATTTCGTGACGGCATTACGAAATTATGTCACATATAAATTTACAAGCTGTTCCAGGCGATGGTCGTTACGAATATATGTGTGCTCCGAAGCCAAATCGTACAATGCCTTCAACACAGTATTTCCTCGTCGAAGAGACAATACCTGCATGCTTTTCACGTGGTTCGCGTGCCATGTCACTGGAATCTGGTGTTTTCTGGTGAGCAGAATAACCGTGCATGCATTGGCCAGCTTTTGCGTCAATCGGCGTTCTGAGTCGGACCCATTTACGAACATTGCAGGCACCGTTGCTTCGGTTGCGTTGGCTTCTTACGAATTCAAAAGTTTCGCCAATATTTTCGGGTGTAATTTTGAGGGTGTCTCGAACAATGAAAAGACGAACATTTCCTGTCACTACGGTACACGTAGATGAAGCGCAAGGAAGTCAATCTGTCAACCAAACAAAACAGGTTAGGCACCACAGAGCTGGTGTACGGCATATTGGTGACACTTATTTTGGCGACGGGCACAAAAAAACTGCCATAGAGCTTTTTCCACTGACACGCATTTGGTGACGCCATACCAATTGCGTGTTACCAAAATATCGTGGCAGTACGGTACCATAGAATGGTAGCAGCAGTAATAGGACCTAAGGGGGGATCCGGCGCTTTGCTGGTCTTAACACATTGTGACCCAAAAGGTCAAATAAGCATCATTACATAGCGACAGTATACCTTCAGGGCGAATGAAACGATAGATATGAGGACAACTAGTGGTCCCTAAATCATAGGGAACGGTTTACAACGGCAAATTTTTGCCTCTGGAGCAGTCCAATGAAAATATGAAATGGATAGTATGGACAACTTTGCTTCAAAATCGGTAGATGGCGCTACCAGGGGCAGACGACTAACACGTCCTTACATGTCTACCTTAGTCTACCAGCTCACCAGACCGGCCTCAGGAAAGCCAAAGGTGTGGTGTCCGCTCGCCGAATCCAGCCAACATGAGAGTTACTGTATTGAATGCAGGTGCTCATCTTGCACGGGTGCGTTGCGTGTATGTGCGTGTGTGCGCGTCCGCAAGCTTCTTCGTAGCTACAACTTAGTACCACAGGGCACGCTCACGTACGGCTGATTTTAACGAACCATCGGGATGCCCAATTGACAGGTTGCTCTAAACTTTACATACGGTTTCCAGCGATTGGGGCCTCACGACTGTACCCTGTTCGGCTATGCATTCAAAAGGCCTGCAACCCCAAAGCGGCAGCATCGAAACCGCATGGGAGCTGCCTCGATCTTGGGTTGAAAAGACATGAAAGTCACAGGTGCATGCATTTGGAGTTGTCGCAAATGGTGGCGAAACTGCTTTCTTTGTATTTTGCTTGTGAGTTCGTACTGTACATACGGGTACGACACACAGGACAACTTCTTTTCCATCCGGCGTCATCGTCTTTCTTGCAGCATAACAGCAATTGTTATTTTCTTGTTAAAGGCGTCAATAAACTTCCGCAGAACCTGGTTGCGACCTACCTCGGAACTTCGGCATGGTGCAGTTTTCGGCCACGGCATAGGTTGTCGCCGTAGACGTTTGCAGTAATGGTCAGCGCTTTAGTGGTCCGGGGGCTAGAGGATGCTGGGTTAAAGCGTTTCATACCAGCTTTTGCGGGCATTTCGGACCAAGCCTTCTTTGGACTCATGATGAGCGATTATCCAAGCCATGGCATTGTTGAACTTGAAGACAAACAGAAACTGTTTCGCCTGATCAAGTCAATATCAGCGGCCTCAAAGGCATCGGGCGAAACGCCTTCCCACCCCGCAGTGGAGAAACCAAACGCTCTGATCGATCTCGATGAGAATGACGGTGACCTTCTTGCAGATGTGAGGCATCCTGCGTCGGGTTCTGTTCTATTGCGATTTGTCCCTTGAGTTCTCAACTGTTCCCGCCTAACGCAACATGTCTTCGTCCCCCCCAAACGTAGGCCGGTGTTGCTTTCCAGCTGTCGCCGTTGTCAAATCAGAAGGCAGCAGCTCCGTCTGCAGGTCCAACAAGCAACCAGGACGATCCGCCGAAGATTCGCGTTGTCGTTCGGAAGCGGCCAATCAGCAAAAAGGTACTGTTTTCTGGGGGTATTGCAACAGGGCTCCGAGGGAACCCTCCGACTGCTTGCAACTCGCGTGTTATGGCACTGTTGTCTTATGTCGCCTAGTTCAGCTTCTTCTGTCAGGTTCCCCTTGCCGCCCTCCATGTCATTCCCGCCTGCTCGTCTCAATGCAACCTCTGTAGGAGCGGGAGCGCGGTGACGAGGACGTGGTTGATGTGCTGGCCAAGTCAAGCACGGTTGTCGTGAATGAGGAGAAGGTGAAGGTGGATCTCACCAAGTACGTCGAAAAGCATGCCTTCAAGTTCGACGAGGCTTTGGATGAGCACGTTAGCAACGAGGCCGTGTACCAGCTCACTGTGGGGCCCCTTGTGCGCACATTATTCCGCAGCGGTCGTGCCTCTTGCTTTGCGTACGGCCAAACCGGTAGCGGTAAGACGTATACAATGTCGCCGCTGCCGATTCGGGCCTCAGCCGACATCTTCTCATACATGGCGCAGCAACAGTATCGCGATATCAGCCTATGCGTCTCGTGTTTCGAGATCTATGGCAACAAGGTACAGGGCGAAGAGCTTGCGGAGAGGCTCGCTTTAGAGCCGTGAAATGCAGGACTTTCTAACTGGGAGGTGTAGCTCATAAGAAACGCACAATCATGGGCGAATCCGGCAGAGGTTTGTGGAGCCACTGCCTCACACTCCCGATACTGCATTGAGGGTCAACCCAGTCTACCGACTATACCCTGGTACTCCTGAAGCGGTACAGGACCAGGATTCCCATCGTCCTAGGGTGCAGACCTGCAGCCAACACTGCTCAATTTTTAGCCAGGCAAAGCTCATCATACGTACCGTTGTATAATTAGGCCCGGACATCCTTGATTCCTTGTGTGTGAAGAGTTCGTGCTTGTTGCGCAACTCCTTAGATATACTAGGCATGTCGCCGATGGACGTCTCAGTGAAGTCGACCCATGCTGCAGAAAGGTTTGCGTCTATCACCCCGTGGGGGCGCCTTTGGGGGGCCTTCTCGCTTGCGTGGTAACAGGGGAAACTGCAGGGAGCTAGTATACACTTTTTCAGGTTGTCTTGGTTTTACGTTAAGTAACGGACTTCAATCCTTAAATGGACAACTGTTTTACTCTTTGCCCACATATGTATGTGTTGGCCCTGCCCTATGTGCCGTTCGAAGGTTTTTGACTTGCTTAATCAACGCAAGAAGCTTAACATTCTGGAGGACGGAAAGCGCAAGGTCGTCGTCGTGGGCCTCAAGGAGTTCACCGTCGACGATGTTGAGGGCGTGAAGGCGCTTATCGAGGAGAGCTCCAAGCAACGCTCCACCGGCTCCACCGCAGCCAACTCAGATTCGTCAAGATCGCATTCCATCATGCAGTTCGCGCTCAAGAGGGCAGCACCCATCGCACCAGGCGGCTTTCGCCGCGGTGAGGAGCCCCCGGAACCCAAGGTTGTGGGAAAGATCAGTTTCATCGATTTAGCAGGCAGTGAGCGCGGCGCGGACACTTTCGACAACAATCGCCAAACGCGGCTTGAGGGCGCGGAGATCAATAAGTCGCTGCTGGCCTTAAAAGAGTGCATCCGTGCCTTGGACAGCGACGCGCGCCACGTCCCGTTTCGTGGCTCTAAACTTACGGCCGTTTTGCGGGACTCGTTCGTGGGCGACCAAGCACGGACCGTAATGATAGCCAACATCTCTCCATGCTCAACGTCGGTAGAGCACACGCTGAATACGCTCCGATATGCCGATCGTGTCAAAGGTGAGCTGCGGAAACGACGCCCCTGCGGTGTTGCCGCTAGGCCAGGTATTTAATCGCATTTCCGCTCAACCACATTCCTTGGTGTTGTCAAAAAAAGGGGTGCAAAAGGCACATGAAGCGCTCTGTTGGATTGCTTAGTCCCAGGGACAGACGAACCAAAAGGAGTTCTTATTTTCAAATTGCCAATGAAGGTGCCTGGGAAAAAACGCATGTCTTGCATCTTGCGTTTTTTATTTTGCACCCCCAGCGTGGCCATGTTTCATATTTTGGCCAGTAAGATTGGATCTTCAGCGGGTTCGTGCTTCTGTCCCATATTTACAAATTGATCCTGGGAACTAATTGGTTGTAGAGCTTCGCAAAGACAAGGCCGAGCGCACCCCTGGAGGCGTGACACCCGGCGACGAAGCCTACTATGCCGCCGTGGCGCGGGCAGCCGTGCCGGAACCCGAGCCAACAGAACGAGACAAGGATCGCTTCGATCACCGGGACCGCGACCGCGGCCTAGAACGATTTGCTAGTCCGCCGCGACAGCAGGTATGTGTTTTCCACGTCATATTTCCCAGTGCCTGCGTACAAGAGCACGGCTGTGATAGAAATCCGAGATTTGCTTGGTGACGTTTGTGCTCAACTGTCAGATCGTTTAATTGTGTCTTATGCGGAACCAATGCTGCGGTTTTGCAGGGGGGTCGTATGATTGGTGTGGGGGCCCCTCCCGGCGATGCGGACGGCTCTGCTGCGGCGCTTGCGGAGCGCCATGATGAGCTTATGGATAGCATTTTGCTAGAGGAGGAAAACCTGGTGGCCTTCCACCGTGCCAAGCTAGAGGAGGACATGGAGACGATGCGGCAGGAGATGGCTCTGCTGCAGGAGGTCGATAAGCCGGGCAGCGAGATTGATCATTACGTGGAGCAAATGACGGCGCTATTGAACATAAAGCGCCAGGGCATCCAAGAGCTTCAGGTGAATGCGAAATGTGTGTTCCAATCTTAACAGACGTATTTGATGTCGGCGTGTCTGGGACAAAGAAACGTGATGAATGCTATTTTGCAGCTAACATGGGGATTATTTCCATACTATAGCTGCAGTTGGCATACAAAGCTGGGCAACTTGTCCTCAAGGTCATGCATCACCGATATTATTTTCTAATGAAGGTAGTGGCCATTCGCAGGCCAAACTGGACGCTTTTAAGGCGAAACTTCGAGAAGAGGAGGCGCTGAGCAGGACGGTGCACAAGATTCGTGCATAAGCAGTGCAGGATGTCGAAGCATAGGACGCATTATGCGGCGATTAATAGGTGGTTGAGCCGTCAGTACTTGCGATGGAGCGCGCCTACAGTCGCTGGCGTCAGCAGGACAGCATGTTGAAATCTCGTGAGCGGATCAGGGAAAGTCTCATGCGGATAGCGCTTCCACTGCAGGTGCCAATAGTTTGGAGCGCTGAATTGGGTAGGCCAGCGTGGCATAGCGTTCCAAGGTCGGCCATAGGAGGAGGTCTGAGTTGATTAGCACTGGGTGTGCTACCATTTACTTTCTAGACAGATAATAATAGTTCTGCAGATGCATGCGCTTGGTAGGTCCTATGCATCGAGAATGTGAGTGAGGTGGTGATGCCAACGTTTTTGTAGGGTGATGAAGACGTGATGCTCGTTATAAGCCCACCCGGAAAGACGATTATCCGTCCTGCAGGTTACGGCCGATCAACTGGCTTACTGTTAATTCTACTGTACAACTGGCTTATGGTTAATTCGGTGTCTTTGCATTATGAGCACTCTGTGCTTGAAATGGCCGCCGAAGTGCCGCATAGGCTGTCTTGCTCCATGGAATTAAGCAAGGACTCTGAGGAGGCCCACGGTATGTGCGTGATTGCCATAAACCCGATCACCTCTCGGCGGCATGCATTACGAGCTGCGGCAACGTCGCCACCACTGTTCCCACGACCCCTTGCTCGCGGTTAGAAATTGGGAAAAAGGAAAAACCATGAATCGTTTCTAGGAACCACCGGCACATACGAATGTCAAAATGCACAGTGTGGAATCTGCGGCTGGTTGCGGGGGCCAATTAAACCTCGTACGGGCCTTCTGGTAAATTCAAAACGCTGTTTCAGCATGCAACAGAAAAGCGCTGTTCTGAGGACAGGCGTTGGTGTACTGTGCTGTATTGTCACCAGAGAGGGTCCGCATGCAAGTGGCCATGTGGATTTTGCATAAAATTGCACGTTTGAAACGATGGAAGGGTGCACGGTGAGGAAAAGATGCAGGTAATAATGAAGAACCAGCGGGGAGCATACGGGTGATCGCCATTGCAAGTATCTCAGCGTTATTGGACGAAGATGAATATAGGAGGTCATGCTGTCTGTTTGGCGTAGATTCTCCTGTGCGGATTTTATAAGGGGAGTGAAGGATGCTTGTGATGGAAGGGCATGTTAAGCACCCTGAAGATAATGGGAAGGCCTGATGCCAAGAAGCGAGGTGTTGCATGACAATATGGGTTGAAGGAGTATAGAGGTGGCAAGTGGTATGGAGCGCGTGGTAGTGGCGACTAAGCCCTAGAAACCCAGCCATAGCGAGCAAGGCCGTCGGCCTGGCGCCGTACAGAAGTGATCAAAGCATGACACGGTAACGTCTCTCGTAGTCGTGGTGCGGCAAAGCGATGGGGTATGCAGCATGGCACACTTGCTACTTTTTTATAGTACATCCTGTCGTATTTGCCTGAGAGGTAAGTACGGCAACCCTTACGGCTTGCCTATCCGCTTGCAAGTAGCCATCGATTTACTCAACTTACAAACTGACATTACGACAGGGGACACCTGCCATTTTCCCATGGGCCTGACGGGTATGATTGCTGCAGGGCTCGAGCATTTAAGCAGAAAAAAACCTTAGGTGTCAGTTTCGCGGGAGTTCGGGGGTTTCTCGCGTGCGCATATATAGATAAAGTAGGAGCTCGCGCAAGTCAGAAGCAAATTGCTGGTTGACGTCGTGCGACAGGTACGACATCGGTAGACCCAGCCTCCACCACTTTTCATTCACAGATTGCCACTATTCACTGTGCAAGGTTGCTTGCGTGTTTTGGAATTTGTGGGAGCCGCCGCCGACTAAAAGTACCAGCAAGGAGCGCGGAGCTATGTGTACAGTGCGGCCGTGGCTTGAAATCGATGCTTCGCTGCCAAGGACAACATGTATATACTTTCAGCGCCTGAGATGCTCCTGCAAAGTAATCCCCCACTGTGGGTTGCCTGGCCTTGGGCTGCGTAAAATTTACGCTCTTTCACATTTCCCATTCAATTATGATGGCCGCATATTGTAAACCTGCCTAGGAATCCTGACTCCAACCAATACCGCAGCAAGGTAGGCTTAAAAGCCCTGCACAGCAGCGTGCCATTTTATTCGAAGCAAGGATCAGTCGCATCCACCCAGGCCGTTAACAGACAGTCCATCCGCATGTTGTGGCTTACATCATCAAGAAAAACATAAAACCACGGCGGGGAGCGAAACTGTGTAGAATGAATCTAAAAGTGGACACTCCCAACATATTTCAAACCAACCTACTTGTTAAGGACTAAGACAGTGATCGTTAACAGAGGTAGCCTTTTCATCCACTGAACCATTATCACAAGACACGCCTGATGGAACGTTGATCAGACCTCCAACACGTTTTCCAGTGATTGCGCGGGAAGAGCGGGTGATCATTCGCGAAGACTGTATGAAATAGTGACGAATTGGAGCAGTTGTAAATAGACAACAGCCGGTGGCGAATCGAAATCGTACGGGTTGTGACTCCAGGAGGGCCGACCCAGCGCGCCTTGAAAAAAATGGAGGGCATTTGACGTTTGTAGATATGAGTTATCTTTACTTGAGCAAAGGCAGCGCAGCAGTCTGTGTGCCTTCATAGCGTGACACAGTCCGTCACCTCGGTTAGCCCACTTAATCACGGTACATCTTTCCGGAAGGTGTCTGAACGACGGAAGATGGGTGACAAGAACTTTCTTGTTGTGAGATCCTAGTACTTCTAACCTTTGCAGTATTCTTCACACTATCGTGGTGGTGAAACCTGAGTGATGTTCTTCTGCTGCATCGCAGGACTTCCTGGCAGGTGGTGTTTCTGCCGCAGTCTCGAAGACTGCCGCAGCGCCCATTGAGCGCGTAAAGCTGCTAATCCAGAACCAGGATGAGATGATTAAGCAGGGCCGCCTGGCAGCCCCATACAAGGGCATCGGCGACTGCTTCGTGCGGACTGTTCGCGAGGAGGGCATGGGCTCGCTGTGGCGCGGCAACACGGCGAATGTGATTCGCTACTTCCCGACACAGGCAAGTAGGCTGTCCCATCTCTTCCGTGATGTCGTCACGTTTCCCTGCCTTCGCTGAAGCCATGTATAGTAACGATGCTTGTAGGAATTAAATGATCTCTTGTACTATGCTGAATCTTCAGGCACTGAACTTCGCCTTCAAGGACAAGTTCAAGCGCATGTTCGGCTACAACAAGGACAAAGAGTACTGGAAGTGGTTCATGGGTGAGTTCGAACAACGTGGTTGTTTACCGTTGCTTCGGTATGACAGGCTCGCAACGAATCGCTCTTGTTCGGTTCGCGCAGGCAACATGGCATCAGGTGGCGCAGCTGGCGCTGTGTCGCTCGCGTTTGTGTACTCCTTGGATTACGCCCGTACTCGCCTGGCGAATGACGCAAAGTCTGCAAAGAAGGGTGGTGGCGACCGTCAGTTTAATGGTCTTTTGGACGTGTACCGAAAGACTATCGCATCAGACGGAGTCGCTGGTCTGTACCGCGGTTTTAATATCTCTTGCGTCGGCATTGTAGTGTACCGCGGCTTATACTTCGGGATGTATGACTCCCTCAAGCCGGTGGTCCTGGTTGGGGCAATGGCCAACAACTTCCTGGCATCGTTCCTGCTGGGTTGGGGCATCACCATCGGCGCCGGTAAGGTCGTTCCAAACGCTCATATGACTAGGATGTGTGTTATTATATAAGGATTGTAACCAACCTAAGTCCCACCGAACGTGCTGCTAATCTGTGATGTCATTTTGTTCTACCCTGGCACCAGGTCTGGCGTCATATCCAATTGACACGATTCGTCGTCGTATGATGATGACATCGGGCGCGGCTGTCAAGTACAAGAGCTCTTTCCATTGCTTCCAGGAGATTGTTAAGAACGAGGGTGTCAAGTCTCTGTTCAAGGGTGCCGGTGCAAACATCCTGCGCGCAGTTGCTGGCGCTGGTGTTTTGGCGGGTTACGACCAGCTGCAGGTCATTCTTCTCGGCAAGAAGTACGGCAGCGGCGAGGCTTAAGCGGCCGTCAAGGATCCAGTGGCGGGGGTTTGCCCCTCCAGCTTGGCAACATGGCAATGCATTATTCTTTTAGTAGAGCAGGGTTCTGCATATTGTACGGTGTGCGATGAACTGGGTAATATGTCGGATGTCAGCGAGGATCACGGCTGTGTGCACCAGGCCGTTACGGACGCATGTAATCTTGCGATCGTGTCGCATGCGAATTGCTTGCATTCAACGCACTGCGCTGAATGAGAAATGTGGGCTGCAATATCTTGATACTGCTTTCGAAGCAATGGCATGGACCAAATGATTAAATTGGGTAGCGCAGCAAGTAACCGTTACCGATTATCCACCAAATTCCTTATTTAAGTCTTTCGATCGCCTGTATCTATACAACTAAAGAACTTCGTCGTCGATACCAACTGGAAGGAATAGGACTCCGATTTTGGTTGAAATGTCAAAAGAGTTACACCGAGGGCCGAGCGACATTTAAGCCTGCTAGTACTCCACAGCATGCAATAACGATGATATAACAATCTAAACATCAGTATTGACTTAAATAGTTATCCAAGGCCTAATCTGTACGCGTGCCTACGAGTCAACTACTCAACAACTAACTAGAAAACCTAACAAAACGTAACACATGTCGAAGTGGTGAGGACTCCCTTCACGTAAATCAAAATTCGATCCGTTTAATGAGAAGGGGTAACAACAGAGTAAAATTAGCAGAGCGTCGGGCGTTGAGTACGAAGGTACAATAATCGGAAAGATATTCAAGGGATGAGCAGACGTGCCTAGTTACCGAATGCGACTCTGCTTCTGTACGCTATGGTTAGCCGCCGTGAAAACTTGTCAGTACTATATTCAGTACGAATAAACCAACGACATTCAACCGAATGCGCTCTCGGCAAGTGCATAGAACATCTTTCTTTTCTTGCATTTCACTCAGGGAATCTACAGATAAAATACGAGGAATTGTTAAAGGGATGGATGAGTATGCAATGGCCGTCTGGGTTTCTCGGCACTAGGGGCGCTGTAAGAGGAATACGTTCGCACGAGTGCTATCTTTAATTTTCATCAAGCCTCTCCTCCTGTGGCTCATTGTTTTGGTACTATTATGGGTGCCTGCCTGGGAGATAATCACCATACAGCACCGCCCACACTGTACTACGCCATACCAACTGCAAGTCGGTTGATTCTGCCTCCTAGTCCTCCAGTCACCTGAACATCCGCAGAGATAGAGGGTTCAGCATCGCCACCAATCCAGCGTGGATATCTCGGTCAATTAACTGTGACCTCAGCTCCACATCTCGGCAGCTAGCCATAATCTCACGCTCCCGGCAATGTCGGGGGCCTACCCAGAAATTTAACCCAGGACCCTAAACCGCATATTGCAGTAGTGTCTCCAGACCAGTAGGAGTCGGATATAGCGGCAGGGCTAGGCAGGGAAACACAGTTACTTGCAAATCCTTCGGCAGTCTCCAACAACTCCTTACCGCTTCCAAATCACAATCTTTGGCAGTCACATACACACTGATTGGCCAGTCCCGGCTTAGACCATATGCAAACCTTCTGAGCGTGGTTATGTAACCATACCGCATGGGCCCTCCACTTTCCTCGCGAGGGCCTCCAATAGCTGTTTACGCCGGCCAACCTAGCCCGTACTATGCAGACGTTATAGACGCTTGCGGGTGTGCATGACTTCGTAAGGCTAGAACAGGAGGAGGGTATGAACAGCGGGAAGATGAGGCTGGGGTCCTGGCGCAAGCTACCATCGCAACGGCATTTAATCATCGCGACAAGGGGGTCCTTTCATATCTAAGTGTCAGTCCCTCAGTATCTAAGTGAAGTTGCTGAACACCCACTGCAGCGTCCACAGCCCGGATCGCCTTTGGATTGCGTTCTGGCGATGGCCTTCAGGGCCTGTTTTTTCGGCGTTGTGTCGAGGAGTATGAGGCCCGCCGTATCAGGCAGGCAGTGCTTCTCCTCAAGGCAGCGGTCGGCTATGCGTGGTTCGATGCAGTGCTGAAATGGCCGCTATGTTTTCTGCGCGAACGTGTGTCCTTTGTACGGGGGACACGTAATAGGGGCGCAAGTGTGCAGGACTCAGGTCTGTCCTGGGGGCCGTGTGTAGGAAACCCGCACGGCAGCGTTGTGGTTTACGTAGGCCCTGACGTTAAACGGTTTGCGTCTGTTGTTGGGCGGATGGGGAACATTCCCGGTGCGACGTCCTGGTGTATGCCTCGTATGGATGACGAAACTGTTGTTGTAAGCGTTTTTTGCGAGAAGCCCCGCGCGCATCTCAGTACATAAGAAGCGTAACAAGATAAATGTAGAGCACCCAAAATTGCATATCGGGATATGCCATACATTCATCCAGGTGAAATTTCGGACCCCGCGAACCCTCATCTGGCAGCCACCGTGTCCGTGCACGGACGTGCACTAAAGCAGCGCAGGGTCACGGACTACACGGACCTGTAGTCCGTGACCACTAGAGACTGCGTGGTGCGGCGGACTAGAGGCGGATTGCTGCATTAGAGACGGATTGCTGCACTAGAGACGGATTGCTGTGGCCGATTCCCACCTGTAGGCTATCTTATTGGCGCATGCAGACGGGCGAGGGATGTCAAACATCGATGCAGTCGCATGCGTACCTTCGCGTGCGTACATAAACTGTTCACAGCTCGGCTACTGCGACACAAAGCGCGCGCTGACATGCACGGTGATGTGAAGTGCGTGTACATGGGGAGTCGTGTGGGGAGGGGGTTTGGTTATACGCTTGTTCGTGCTCACGATGGGCCGGGGTGTAATGCTGTTCGTCTGTCTATCTTTGAAAAGCTGTACGGCAATGGTGATGAACGGTGCTGCGATTGCAATACCGCGGCGCAGGGCGGCGCCGGCAAGCTATCGACCTCGGTTGCTGGATGTGAGCGGAAGTGATGATTGTGGATGTATGAGTATGGGTGACCTGCGGTCAACGCCAGGTGGCCCAAGGTACGGCCGGTGTACCTGTCGGTGGGCGAACATAAATATTAACATTTTTAAACCTGAAAAGCGCTCCCGTTGCCATTAGTTGATCCTCATGTCCATGCTTCCAGCAGGCTTTCATAAAATGTATCTGGATGCCAGTCAACTTACAACCAAATGAATATAGGAGGACATGAAACGGTATTTAAATACATGTTTTTTTTCAGTCAGATGCGCGCGCGGGGCCCCTCTCCTGGCAGCTAGATGAGGCGTCGGGACAGCTAGATGAGGCTGACGGGGGTTGTCAGGCGGTCAAGATGAGGCTCGGGGCTCAGCTAGATGAGACAAGGGGAGGTCCCCGCGATATCTAGATACCATGTGAACTTACTTAGATATTGTTTCTTCATACTTAAATGAGCGCGGAAGGCAGATGCCGGCCAGGACCCCACCCCCAGATGACAGATGACGAACCCTGGGTGATACCCTCCGGAACAGGGGGGCAAATGTCTTTCCTTCACGTCCTCTTGTTGACTTCTATGCCCCACACTCTTCCACTTAAAATGCGCTTAAACCTTGTTTCATTTGCCATGCTTCTATCGACTTTATTGTGACTTAACGTCACCCTGGCCTGCGCTTTGGTGCAATGTTGGCCACAAAACGTGGCATCATTGGCGCATGTCGCTGACAATTCATTGGAACCTCGCGGCCAGAGTGAGTAAGTACATTACTATGTAGTGCGTGTGCATCTGGTCTGTGTGCCCGTCTGCATTCCTGCAGGCCACTGAGGCTCCCGCAGTTTCCAGCATTTGTGATGCAAGTTTATGCAGAAACCATGAGGATAAGAGCGAGCCTGCACCCGCAGCTAGGTCGACTGCTCACCGCTCATCCTTCGTGAATCGAATCCAATGTTTGCAGACGAGGCATTTAGCGGCGGGGTTGTACGGCAGTGGCGTACGGGTTCCTCTGGGTTATAGTAGACTGTAGTCTGACCATTCCCCAGGCGCCTCTATTCCCGTTTCGGCTCTCTGCCATGGTATTTCTAGCTAGGTGGCGTTTCTTAGCAGCCAAGGGGGATTTGGGGCCCGTATCAGTGCATGACCGGCTCGCCTTTCATTTTTTGCCCTCCACCCTTTGCTGTCATTGTGGTGAGCTAGTAGATTGAGTGCTTTACCATGCTTCTGTATACACATACAAACTTAAGTACACAGATGTTTTCGTTGGACCCCGCAGCGTCAGCGCTACGCGGAAGCCACGCATCAAAGATTAAAGCCATGCTCCCAAAGAAGCGAAACAGCAGGCAGCTCTACTAAAAGCCATGAGGTCACACTTACCAAGGTTAGACAAAGCAAACTGAAGTCCCAAACAAAGCCGAGTAAGGCCTGTACGCGCCCGGGGATGTGGCTAACTCACTAATGCCGTTGCTGACATGGCAACTGCTTTACCGTTGGTGCAAGGGGCGTCAAAAGTCAAGTAGTTCATTCCGCACTCCCGTTTGGTCTACGTCACTCGCAAGAATCTCGATAACACTGCTATACGGGCACCCTGCTTATTCACGCCCTGCTTAGACTGAAAAATCTGCTGAATCTCACCACTAAACGCCATAGCCGTTACCGCCTTCTCGTACACCTAGGGGTATTATCCAAGAGAGGGCATGGGAACCCCCTCTCCCTTAACCCCTTCACGCCGTACCCAAGCGGCCTTCGGGGCACCTTACCAAAGATTTTTCAGAGGAACATTATTACCGCCGTGAAGGGCAGAAAAAGAAAGACGGGTCCCGATGCCCCCCTGCAATCGATCACCTGTAGAACTCTCCGCTACTCCCGCTCAACCGCAAATCATGCTCCACCTCGCGACTTCACGCTTAATCCTCCACTGTTCCTCCGTCCTGTCCCTTTTGCGTCCACGGGTTACATCTCTGCTTGCCGTAGTCCCTGCGAGGATATCGGAACAGTTGAAACAGCTGGCTCATCTTCTCTAAGCCAACCACCGGTTTAGTGGTCGTCTAGAGGGAACCCAGGTCCGGGCAAGCCGGGTGCGGATCATGTCAATCCCACAGCTGGATGGTGCGGATCATGTCAACCCCACAGGGATGTGGGCACCACAAAAGGACGTTTAACGATTTGGGAGGGCGGCCGAATTCAGCAAAATGTTTTCATTACCGATATGCAACGCTGCGACTTAACGGTAGGGGCAAAGGCATACGCATGGAGAGAGATGATGAGTTCGTACAAAGAACCCCCTGTACGACACACACCAAACAAGAGGAAAGTCCCTGAATGGACTATGCATATCAGTTTCAGGCCACCTTGACATTAACCAGGGCCGTGGGACGCGGCTAGTTGCGAACCGGGCTTCACCTCCGGCCGGCCGGGCCGGCCTGGTGGCTGCAATAGAGCGAGGTTTAGATACTTGCTTATACCCAGACAAAGGGATTTCCCCTTACGCTTACGGGTGGCATCGTTGGTGCGGAACAGCAAATAAGTTGGCATGCGAGGACAACGC